CCAATCTCTTATCTTCAATGTTGCTATAGTTTCTCTAGTGTATTGTTGGGTCAGTTAACCATCAATTCAATAAATAACTGTTTTTTTTTTTAATTAAGCAACTTCATTGAGCCAGGTTTTTATGTTGTAAAAGTAGGGAACATAGACATTGATTGATTAGACATGGAGCTAAGCATCTGATTGGGGACAAGATACATAGGTCATTTCAATACAGTGGGATGAGTGTCACCATAGGGATTATTGCAGGTTTCTTAGAAGCATGGCATCTTGAAAACAGTGTCTCAGAAAACCAGTAGAACTAAGTAAGTGAAAAAAAGGGGGAAGAGTGCAAGGAGTTGGCATTCTAGGTCGTGGGAACAGCATGATCACAGGCATGGGAATGGAGAATTTTGATGCATGTGGGAAATCCTAAATTGTAGCCTGAAGTGCAATCTGGGGAATGGCTCTCCATTTCACTCAGGACGAAATCCAAACTCCTTAGCTGTGTGTATGATCTCTTTCATGATGTGGCCCCAGTCTCATTTCTTACCACCTCTCCCACCCACCCTCTGTTCTTGCGCCATATTGAATTACCTGCAGTGATCAACACAGTGCCTGGCTCCATAGTAGTTCTTCAATACATGTTTGCTGAATGAATAAATGAGTGGCAGAAGACATGCATGGAAAGGGAGGCAGTGGCTGAGCTATGGAGGACTCTGCTTGGAGTGTCCAAATGGAGGAGGTTTATGCACCGAGAAAAGGCTGCACTGTCTCAAAAGATCCAGTGCATTCATCAGATAATTCAGTTTCTGGGTTTTCAATATTCAGGCTTCTGCTGGAGTGGACTTTGCGTCCTCGAATTCTCTGGCTTATCTCTCCAACTAGATTGTGACTCTTTGAGGGTAGAGACCATTGTCCCATCTAGTGTCGAACATCAGCATGTGTTGAACTAAATCTGTATGTAGAAAGAGCTGTAATTGCCTGTTTACATCTTCATAGAAAGGGGAAACAAGGGATTTCATCTAGGGATCCCTGTCTGAGCATTAGGATAACCACAAAGGCTGAATTTAGAAGCCAGTCTCCCCTGCTGGGGGCTCAACCATGATGGCAGAGTGGATCCCCTGAAGCTGGCCACACCAGAGTGGTCGCACCTTCTCCCCAGCAAGAGTGCAAAGCTGTTGGGCAGTTAAGGGTAGAATAGGCCCTGTGAGGTTCATGGGCAGCTAGTCACTTTCCTCTACTCACCAGACTGAGAGCATGAGCCTGAGGCTGAGGGATGAAGAGGCCTTTTTGCCTTCTTCAAGTTCCATTGGCAGAGAAAACAATATACTTCACTTCTCTAAGACTGGTTTCCTAAAAGATTGTGAGTTGTGGTGGAAAACCCTCAGAACACCAACAGCAGCAAGCGGGGGAACGTATCCCTTGTATTGCTTGTCAAACACTAGCATTGACTATTTACTATATATGAGCTCTGCCTTCAGTGCGATGAGACACATCATGTGACCTAAGTACACAGATGGGAGCGGGAGAGAGAGCAACACACCTGAACGCAAATAGGAGACAGCTCAGAATGAAGAATTGCCTGGGAATAAGCGCTACATGGAGGCAGCGGAGTAGAGGAGTTAAGAACACTAAGTTGGTGTTAGGCACATCTGAGCTTGGTTTGAATCTGAACTCCAGCAGCATACTGTGGGATTATGAGCTGGTTACTTTACCTTTGAGCCTTGGTTTTCTCACCTGTAAAACAGAGATAATGTTGCTGACCTATTCTGTCATCGTGAAGACTCAACGAGATACTGAGTGTATAGCATGGTGGTTGGGAGTGCAGCCTCTAGAATTAGACTCCCTGGGCCCAGACGTCGACTTCATCACTTCCTAGCTGTGGTCTTGGGAAAGTTACTTAAATCTTGGGCTCCAGTTTCCCATTCTTAAAATCAGGATAACAACAGTACATACACTATTGGTTTGACATGAGGCTGAAATGAATTTTATTTCATGTAAAGTTCTCAGAATAATTTTGGAACATACTAAGAGCTCGATAAATCTTCGATGTTTCTGACTGCATACAGCCTCCTGTCTGGTTCAGTGAATTGAAGCTGTTATAATGATCAGAGAAGGTGTAGATCAATCAGTGTCATTAGGAAAAGCTCGGGTAAAAGAGGCCTAGAAGGGAGGGCAGAAACCAGAGAGAAGAGGGCACATCTGATGGGGAATGGATTAAGCAAAAGGTTTGGAAATCAGAACAGCGAGGCTGGCCTGATCAGAAGATGTGCCAGGGAGGAGTTCAATGGCTGGGTCTTGTTTAAAACTAACTTAAGCACATTTCTTTAAAATATCTAGTTTCAGCTGGGTGTGGTGGCTCATGCCTGTAATCCCAGCACTTTGGGAGGCCAAGGCAGGCAATCACGAGGTCAGGAGTTCAAGAGCAGCCTGGCCGACGTGGTGATACCCCCATCTCTACTAAAAATACAAAAATTAACTGGGTGTGGTGGCACATGCTTATAGTCCCAGCTACTCAGGAGGCTGAGACAGGAGAATTGCTTGAATCTGGGAGGTGGAGGTTGCAGTGAGCCAAGATCATGCCACTGCACTCCAGCCTGGGCAACAGAGCAAGACTCTGTCTTAGAAAAAAAAATGCAGTCTACAACATGGTGCAGATAACAAGAGCTACTCCTTCCTGGGTGTTTGCATCGTGCTAAATGCTTCATATTTTAAAAATCTCCTTCTCACAGCTATCCCCTGTGAAGGGTAGTAGTTCTTACCATTCTCAGATTATTTTCTTTCAGTGAGAAATTCAGTTCAGAGCTAAATACTTGTTCAAGATCTCCTTGGTAGCGAGAGGCGGGACTAAGGTTGGAACGCAGATTTGTGGAACGCATTCTGGGGCTCTCTGAGGCAGGAACAGCCCTACAGCAGAGGAGTTGTTATAGGGCCAAAGTTCTCATGAGGTCAAAGTTCTGGGGGAATCTGCCTTGGAAACTCTCAGGCTCCTGTTGTATGTGGAACAGAAAGGCCACTAAGAGCCGCCCCTTACACTGGAGAGTTGGACTCCAAGTTTGATTCCCAGCGAGCTGATGCCAGTATCAAGGCTAGTGTGAGTTAGAGCTTTGACCTATCTAGTGAATAAGCCCCATACAGTTCCAGGATGGTAGCCACAGGGCAGGGATGCTGCCTGCCTTTGCATCATCGTGGGGCCCTCATATCACCAGCCCTGCGGGAGGTACGCATTCATGATCTGTCAGCCGCCACACAGTGCAGCTTCCCACCCCACCTGATTTGAAGCAGCATCTGAAATGAGGCTGGGAACAATGCTGTGGAGATCATTGCAAGTCATTTCAAAGAAAGGTCACGTTCTTTCCTCTTCCTTTCAGATAAGATTTGTAGCTGTCCTTACCCTGTACTCCTTCTGTATAAAACCTACTTGAAGCTGCCTCCATTCAGTGTTGGCTGACCATTCCAGCTTTTAAAAGGTCCAGAGTAGAAAAATACTTGCTGAGTTATTAACACAAAAGCAACAAAAACCTATGTGCACACAAAAACCCATATGCAATTTTTGTTTTGTTTTTTTGAGAGTCTTGTTCTGTTGCCCAGGCTGGAGTGCAAGGGTGCAATCTCAGCTCACTGCAACCTCTGCCTCCCGGGCTCAAGTGATTCTCATGCCTCAGACTCCCGAGTACCTGGGATTACAGGTGCCCACCACCAGGCCCGGCTAATTTTTTTTTTTGTTTTTAGTAGAGATAGGGTTTCACCATGTTGGTCAGGCTGGTTTCGAACTCCTGACCTCAAGTGATCTGCCCACCTCAGCCTCCCAAAGTGCTGGGATTATAGGCATGAGCCACCGTGCCCAGCCAAACCTATATGCAAATATTTAGGGCAGCTTTATACACGATCTCCAGAAGCTGGAAGCATCCCAATGTCCTCCAACAGGCCGACAAACAATGGAACACTACTCAGCGACAAAAAGTATCCAATCACTGATTCACACAACGTGGGCAAACCCCAACTGCATTCATTATGTCGAGGGCAAGAAGCTGGACTCAAAAGGCCATACAGTAATTCCATTGATATGACATTATAGAAAAGAAAAAGCACTAGGGAGGGAGAGCAAACACGTGGTGCCCAGGGTTAAGGGTTGGGGAGGTTTGACTACAAAGGGACAGAATGAGGGCGTCTTTTTGGGGTGACGCAAGTTTTGCATCTTGATGGTTGTGGTGGTGGTAGAACTGGATACCAGAGTGAATTTCATTGTATGTTAATTTTAAACAGTCAAGCAACTGTTGAAGGTTTCAGGAAACAATTGTGGTGAGGTGAGGAAGCAGGGCGCTACATCTAGATACAAGTTCATTTCTATGGACCCCCCCACCCCCAAGTGAATAAAGTCTCACTGTATTCAGTAACAAACGAGCTTGCTGTTCTCAAAATATAACTGATAAAACTATGTTTTTTTGAGTATGTTGGACTTTAGCTGCATAAAAAACAGAGAGGTCACAGGTATGTCTGATGTAAGAAATTACAGGCCTGCTTCTAAGAAATTAGTCTGCTAGAAACAAACCCTTCAAGTTCAATGAGCCAATATCTGAGATGATCGGTGTCTTGTAACATCCTAGTAAAGTCCATAGAAACGCTGTCAGTGGACTCCTGTCCCAAGGTGAATGCCCGACTTATACAATGCACCCCAAGGCTGTCTGTGAAACTTACTTGGGTGAACTTTAAGATCAGTGCTTACCTGAGGGGGCACGACTTTGTGGTTTAGATGATTATTCCTTTGCCAGGAAGATCAGTTATATACCAAACTCTGAACATGTGCTGACTGCACGTCTTTCCTGGTTAAGTGCATCATTCTAGTAAGTTCATCAACTATAAAACTTGGTGATGGATTTTTTTGTCCCCTCACCTTGCTGCTGAAAGAAAGATAAAGCCAATATAGGACTTGGAAAGACCAGATCCAGACTTAAAGTTGGGCTTCACAGCTGCCCAAATTTGCCAGGTTCTAAAGAAAAATAAATTACACAACAGACCTATTTTGCTCATAAACAACTTTTATTTTCTTCTCAGTATGTGCCCTTGAAGTTCCAAAATGCTGGAGTTTCTGATTCTCCTGGGACCAAAGGTAAAAGCACTGTATGGAAACACTCAACCTTGGCTCTTTACTCTCCTGAGCAGCTAAGTTTGGAGGCCTCAGAGAGAGGGAGTTGACACTCACACCTTATTCCAAGATGGGTAACACAGTGAACAAAGAATTAGTAAAACAGAGACTCAGTCTGTAGAGGGCTTCAAATATACATATGCTATATATATAAACCTGTTATATAGGATTGCAACTTACTGGTTTCCTTGTGATTTGTAATGAAGGTACAAATGATAGAGATGTTGCCCACTGCTGATTTCCCCTTCTCAGCCCCCCTCCCTCCCCAACATAAATAACATTACAAAGGTCAGGTGATCCTAAGAATTTTTGTTGTTGTAAATGTTTTGTTTTTAAAATCATATTTCCCTTCCTCCCCCGCAAACTACCTCTGAGAGTTTATAACATAGCAGCACGGAACAGACAAGACTGGGACAGCATGGAGGTCTAACGGAGAGAGCGCAGAACGTTGCTCTTCACTGACTGGCACCAGATGGGCTTTTGCATTTCCATCGACAACAGAGGCTAGGACAGGAAGCAAAGAATGTACAATGCGGCTTCCTCCTCCTTCAAGGAGGAGGCTAGCTGGACCACTGAGAAGAGCCCTAAAGGCATTGAGGTTTTGGAGACAAAGCACAACTCCAGAAATGTCTTGGCTCAGTATTTACACAGTATCTTGAAGCTGCACTTTCCTTTTAAGAAATGTGTTTCTGAAGGTGCCTCTTCTGAGGTGGGTTGGGGGAAAGAAGAAACTTAAAAACAAAAACAAACCAATTCCCACATATGTAAAAGTCCTGTTATAAGTCTTACTCAGTTATGTTCACACACATCATTAAGAGTAGATACTGACAATGATTGGTTTCTTATTCTTGTTTGTTTTTTGAGAGCGTGAGTGAAGAGAAAGAGAGAAAGGAAAAGAGCACTAAGGAGAGCGCCGTCCCTTCTTCAGCATTAAGTGACACTGGATGGTCTGGATTCGGTTCTTGGCCGGGACAAACTCGGGCTGAAGCTTCAGTGTGGATTCATACCACACCAGTGCCTTCTCAAATTCTTCCTGTGAGGGATGGGGAGACAAATGTGAGGGGATGGCACCACCAGACTAAATATATACCGTGACCTCTTTTTTCTCAAGGAGCACCTCTGTGCTACAGACAAGGTGCAGCATTGGCTCAATGGATCTAAGTCTCTGGAAAACTCTGAGGTTCCTCTGGGAGAAAACAGCTGCCCTCAGCCTCAAGGGGTAAGATAACATCACAAAGAAAACTATGGCAGAGTGCAAGAACAAAAGGAAAAGGGGTAGAGCAGCTTTACAGACCCCACAACAGTGATAACTGGCAATAATAAGACCCAACGTTACTGAGTGCCTGAAATTGCCAGGCCTGTGATAGGCGCTTACGAAACCCTCACAGAAACCTCTAGAACCATGCCTGACAAATGCCCGTTAAACATCTGCTGCCCAAAATTTCTAATGTAGCTGGAAAGACAAAAACGAAGTCAGGTATCTCAATTTGACGTGTACATTTTGAAGAGTTTTAAAATTCTCTTTAGCATTTAAAAACGCCAACAAAGATTGGGAAATGATCCCTGCCATATTGAACGTATTAATCTTTTACTTAGAGTTATACTCTCAAAGAAAGGCCCAAATCAACTGGTTTAATGATTTCTTCTAGCCAAATGAGAGACATAATTCCTTGTTCATAGTAGCAAATTTCACATTTACTGGGGGCAACCACAGATTCTTCAACTAAAGAAGCAGAGAGGCAAATTTGCATATTCAGCAATACCTCCCTGGCAAAACACTTCTCACCTCTCAAGTCAAGAATGATACATGCAGCTGGTCGCCCAGGGCTGCTCACTCTATCAGCCATTGCTGAGAGCATCTTGGGAATAGCAGCCCTATGTGCGACGCCACATTTCAGAAGAAAATGAATGGCATGATTCTCACGCTCAATTGGGTTATGACAGCTTTTAGGGGGCTCCCCTGGGATTTTCAGTTCTGAGATCAGTTCTTGTTTCTGATCAGAATGAGGGATCTGGGCGATGTTGTTGCCATTTTCTCTGTCCATGGTATTCCATGAAACCAGTGGAATTTCATCATTCACTAACTACTTGGTGAGCACCCACCAGGGGCCAAAAAAACTGTGAGGCACTGAGAACAGGGAGGTGAAGAGGAGTCTTGTGCCCAATGAGCCCGTGGGCTAGAGGGAAAGACAAACATTTAAACAAAAAATTAGAAAACGAGATGAAAATCCCACAAGAAAAATATGCACAGGGTGTCATGAGTGTGACGACAGGTATCTGGCTGAACCTGGAATTCAGAGAGCATGTGTGTGTTTATGTGGAGTGTGAGGAGAGGTTTCCTGGAACAGGTGGTGTCTCTAGGAAAAGGTAAGTCTGACTCTATTGTTAGTGTTAAACTCATGTTGAGGAACTATGTAGTTGCAAGTACTTAGAAGAATTTTGTGTATTATTGTTTAAAAAACCTCTCAAACCCTTGTCCATAAAATATAACATTGGTGGAACTAGGAATTTTAGACAGAAAGCTTATAGGAAACTGGCAGGCGATGACATATTCAAAGAGGTTTTGAAATCAAAGATGCGTCAGTGTTTGGCAGAGCTGGTGCACTCTGCTCACGCCTATCGCTCACCATTGCCACGTAGACATTGCCCAGAGTGAAGTGGTTCACAGCAAAGTGTGGTGCGATCTCCACTGCCATAGTGGCCACTATGACGGCGTCGTTCCAGAGCTTGGCATTGTGCAAGATGTTGGCCAGGCTAATCAGGGGCACATCCTGGGAGGAGGAGGAGAATGGTGAGAAGGGAAAATTGGGTTTTGAGCTTTCATTCCTGTTTCTGGTGATCCTAAAGAATACAGGCGGTGTTTCCTGGTGAATGATTAGCATGGTGCAACTCAAAGTGCTTTTCTGCTGTTTGCTACTGGTCCGTGATAGATAAGGTGCTTGTACCAGAATATAAATCAATTACTTCCTTCACTGGCAAAGTCTTGCTTTGAAAAACACACACAACAAAATGCCAGCCGAAGCAAACAATCTGCTGAGTAATATAGTTGGTTTCTTCTGGTGAAGCTCCTTGTCTCACTGCAGACTGCTAAGAAAAAGTCTGTGTACTGTCCACAGATCACACTTGGAATTATGCTGTCAAAAGCCAAAATAATGTTCGTAATAATTTCCATCATATTATGTGGAGTAGGGGTTGGCAAACCTAGTCTGCTGCCTATTTTTAAAAAAGTTTATTGGGATACAATCATACCCAGTTCTCTATGTATTTCTGTGGCTGCTTTCATACCACAATGCTAGAATTCAATAGTTGCACCAGAGGCTGTCTGGCCTCCAGGGCCTAAGTGCTTTACTCTCTTGCCCTTTTCAGGACGTTTGCTGACTCCTAGAGGTAGACACTGAGCCCTTCCCTATTGCCTATCAGTATCGAGTACCAAATGATGGATGGAACAAGTAGCAATACTGCTATTATCACAAATATTCCCTTTAAATGTCTTACCTGAGCAACTGCTACCTGTATCACACCATACTGGGTTCTATAGCAGACACAGAAGAAACAGAAAAAAAGGATCCATCTTTGTCCTTATGGGACAGCCATGGAATGCATGACCCTGGATGAGCTCACTGAAGTGCAATAAGGTGCCCAAATTCACAAAGCTAGTAAGACGCAGAGCTGTGTTTAAAACTCAGCAATGTCAGACAGTAAATCCTGTGCTCCTTCCATCATTCCATATACCGCCTTGATAAACAAAGATGACATCAGCTATGTCTTTAAAAAGTATAAGATCTAGGCTGGGTGCGGTAGCTCACGCCTGTAATCCCAGCACTTTGGGAGGCCGAGGCAGGCAGATCACGAGGTCAGGAGAGCAAGACCATCCTTGCCAACATGGTGAAACCCCGTCTCTACTAAAAATACAAAAATTAGCTGAGCGCGGTGAAACGTGCCTGTAGTCCAAGCTACTCGGGAGGCTGAGGCAGAAGAACTGCTTGAACCTAGAGGCGGAGTTGCAGTGAGCCGAGATTGCACCACTGCACAATATGGCAACAGAGCGAGACTCCGTCTCAAAAATAAAAAATAAAATAAAATAAAAATAAAAAGTACAAGATCTGTATTAATGCAGAACTCAGAACACATCAATACAAAGGTGCCAATAAAACACTGTACTTTCTCAGTCATCATAACAATAACTGGTCTTCTGAAAAAGTCAGATGTTACACAGGGTTAATTGGTTTTGTTTTGTTTTTGCGTAAAAAGTGGAAGTCTGACAAGGACCAGGAACTGGCCGATGAATAAGAAAAAATGGCCCGGTGCGGTGGCTCATGCCTGTAATCCCAGTACTTTGGGAGGCCGAGGTGGGTGGATCACGAGGTCAAGAGATTGAGACCATCCTGGTCAACATGGTGAAACCCCGTCTCTACTAAAAATACAAAAAAATTAGCTGGGCATGGTGGTGCATGCCTATAATCCCAGCTACTCAGGAGGCTGAGGCAGGAGAATTGCCTGAACCCAGGAGGCGGAGGTTGCGGTGAGCCGAGATAGCGCCATTGCACTCCAGCCTGGGTAACAAGAGTGAAACTCCGTCTCAAAAAAGAAAAAATGGACAATTGCTTCTATCTCTGTGCCTGGAAGCAAGCTCAAGCCAAGAGGATAAGCAAAACAAGCCTAAGAGGTCTCCAGGCCCCTAAGGACAAGCTCAACCCAGACTGACTTCTAGGCCTCAGCCCACTTAGGCCAGGGCATTTGCTGTATGTTGGGTGGCTCTGAACACAGTGGAAAGGGGACTAAATGCAGTTATGTCTTACAGTGATCTAGAGGGCCTTTCCCATGTTCCAACCTGCTGAGGCTGGGGAGGCACACAGCAGGGATAGTTCACAGGCTTGCTGGGGCACAAGCCTGGTCAGAGTCTCCGGCCCCATCCTCTCCTTGCACCACGTCCTCACTGGCTGAGCATGAGGAAGCCTGGTTGAAAGGGCAGAATAAATCATGGGGAATGGAAAGAACCAAGGGACAGAAGTTCCCACCTTCTGAGTCCCACTCACCTTCATCTGGTGTGGTGCATAGTGCAGAGCCTGGCGGAGGCAGTCGATTGCCTTCTTTCCCTGGCCTCTCACCCTCCAGTAGAGGGCTGCCATGCTGGAGAGGACCCAAGACGTCTGGTTCTGCAAAGGAATGTTAGCTAAGACTGGTGTCTTTTCAAGAATATACTCACTTATTACCAAGATTAAGTTCAGTAACACGAGTCATGGCCATTCAACTGAGTATTTACAAAGTGCTGGCACTTTCTTTCCCCAGCACTTTCTGTTCCTCCTGTCATTCATTAATCCTTAGAACAATCCTATGAGCTGGATACTACTATGATAGCCCTTCTATAAATGAGAAAATTATTTATAGATTTCAGAGAGGTTAAGAGTCTTGCCCAAGTTCACTCAACTACTGAATAGCAGAACTATATCACATGTCTATGTTCTATTTTAAAACTTTCTGAATAGTTAACACATTCACGTTTCAAAAACCAGGAAATACACAAAGTTATACAGGGAAGTATCTCTCCCATCCTTGTCTCCACTGTAGATAAGTAAACACTATTTTGTTTCTTAGGTTTCATTCTACAATTTCTTTTTGTTTTGAGATGGAGCCTCACTCTGTCACCCAGGCTGATGTGCAGTGGCACAATCTCAGCTCACTGCAACCTCCACCTCTTGGGTTCAAGTGATTCTCCTGTCTCAGCCTCCCCAGTAGCTGGAATTACAGGCGTGAGCCACTGCACTCATCTAATTTTTGTATTTTTAGTAGAGACAGAGTTTCACCATGTTGGCCAGGCTGGTTTTGAACTCATGACCTCAGGTGATCCACCCACTTCGGCTGCCCAAAGTGCTGAAATTACAGGTATGAGCCACCACGCCCAGGCGGATTATAACAATTTAATCTCCTGCCAGAAACATATGAGTATCACCATTTCTTTATAGCCCCACCACAGAGTCTGTTACTAAGATCTTAGTCCTCTGCCAATCTGAGAAACGTGGTTTGAATCTGCATTTCCCTTCTTATGAGAGGAGCTGCCCATCCTTTCATATTCGTTAGCTTTTCGTATGTCTTTTCTGTAAACTATCTGTTTTTATATTGTGTTAATTGTTCTAAGAGGTTTTTATCTTGCCTGTTGGTAAAAAGCTCTTTACATTTTAGGGAGATCATCCTTGCCTATGATATGAATTACAGATATGTTTCCCGAGTTTAAAGTCTGCCTTTGGACTTAACGGTAGGTACTTTGTGTGATACAGATTTTGATTGCTACAGAGTTTGGCTTTTTAATGATCTCCAGTGACTTCTGGATTTTTAGTTGTAGTTAGAAAGCCCTATCTCATTCCAAGGTTATCAAAAAATTTTACTGGGCCAGGCATGGTGACTCATGCCTGTAAACTCAGTCCATTGGGAGGCCAAGGCAGGAGGAGATCAGCCTGGGCAACACAGCAAGATCCTGTCTCTACAAAAAATAAAAAATTTAGCTGGGTGGGATGTTGTATACCTGCAGTCTCCACTACTTAGGAGGCTGAGGCAGGTGGCTCACTTGAGCCTAGGAGTTTGAGGTTACAGTGAGCTATGATCATGCCGCTCAGTACACGTTAGCTTGGGGGAGACGGAGTTAGACCCTGTTTCTTAAAAAGAAAAAGAGGCCGGGCACAGTGGCTCACACTTGTAATCCCAGCACTTTGGGAGGCCGAGGTGGGTGGATCACGAGGTCAAGAGATTGAGACCATCCTGTCAACATGGTGAAACCCCGTCTCTACTAAAAATACAAAAAAATTAGCTGGGCATGGTGGTGTGTGCCTGTAATCCCAGCTACTCAGGAGGCTGAGGCAGGAGAATTGCCTGAACCCAGGAGGCAGAGGTTGCGGTGAGCTGAGATCGCACCATTGCACTCTAGCCTGGGTAACAAGAGCAAAACTCCGTCTCAAAAAAGAAAAAGAAAAAGAAAAATTTTACCATTTCCCCTACAGAATTTTTATAATTTCTTTTTTTATGTTTAAATATTTAATCCATTTGAAATTTTACCTGCTGTAAAGTAAAAGATATGGCTCCAACTTATCTTTTCTCCAGTTAGCTACTAATTCGTCTCAAAATTTAATTAATAATTCACCTGTTTCCCCAGTGAGATACTACCTTTACTATATATAAAACTACAGTATTTAATGTAGGCTAAATTTTTAACTTAGGTCTAATTTTGGATTTTTAAAGTCTGTGTCATTTACCACTTTGGTTGAAGATCTCTGACTCCCAGCCGTTACAGAAGAGGCACTCAGAAAACTTAACTGCTTGTCTGATTTTTTTTCAATATAACCTTTGTCAATTTTATAATTCCACATTGTCAGGGCATAGTGTATTTACATTCTGGCCTATCACTGTATGCCTCACCTTTGTTCTAGTATTGGTTTTACAGCTGAATATAATCAGTGATCACTGACATTAGTTTTGTGTGATTTTCCCAATCATCTCCTGGTTGGCTAAAAGCTCATCTTCTAAAAGTTTCCTCAAGAAGAGCTCATGGGAACAATATTCTATGAGATCACTGATATGGGTTGAACCATGTTCCCCTAAAATTCACTTTTTTTTTGAGATGGAGTCTTGCTCTGTTGCCCAGGCTGGAGTATGATCTCAGCTCAGTGCAACCTTCGCCTGCCAGGTTCAAGTGATTCTCCTGCCTTGGCCTCCCAAGTAGCTGGGACTACAGGCCTGTGCCACCATGCCCAGCTAATTTTGTATTTTTAGTAGAGACAGAGTTTCACCATGCTGGCCAGGCTGGTCTTGAACTCCTGACCTTGTGATCTGCCCGCTTTGGCCTCCCAAAGTGCTGGCATTACAGGCATAAGCCATCATGCCTGGCCAAAATTCATATTTTTAAGTCCCAATCCCCTGTATCTCAGAATATAACTGTATTTGGAAGTCTTTAGAGCAGTGATTAAGTTAAAATAAGGCCATGAGAGTGGGGCCCTAACTGTAAATGACTGGATTTATAGGAAGGACCTAGAAGAAGGAGAGACAAACCAGGGTCCCATGTGCACAGAGAAACAACCGTGTGAAGAGGCAGCAAGAGGGTGGCCAATTGCAAGCCAGAGAGAGGTCTCAGAGGAAAGCAACTCTGCCAGAACTTTGATCTTTGACTTCCAGCCTCCAGACCTGTGATCAAATAAATTTTTGCCGTTTAAGCCACCTTGCCTGTGGTATTTCGTTCTAGCGGCCCTAGCAAATGAATACACTCATATATGTTGAAAACTTCCTGTCTGCTGCTTTCAGGGCTAAGAGACAGCTTGGTTGGATTTAAAACCACAGCTTATTCTTTCCTCAAATAATGTGTCAGCATTTCTCTATTGCCTCTTGGTGTCGAATGCTGCTGCAGAGAAATCTGAGGCTAGCCTGACTTGTTCCTTCTTGTCAAGTAACTTGTTCTTTTTGACTGGCATTCCAAAAGGATTTTAAATAACATGATCTTAGGCCTGGTGCAGTGGCTCATGCCTGTAATCTCAGCACTTTTAGGAGGCTGAGGTAGGCGGATCACTTGAGGTCAGGAGTTCAAAACAAGCCTGGCCAATATGGTGAAACCCCAACTCTACTAAAAATACAAAAAAATTAGCCAGGCTAATATTACAGGTGGCAGGCACCTGTAATATCAGCTACTCAGGAAGCTGAGGCAGGAGAATCACTTGCACTTGGAAGGCGGAGGTTGTAGTGAGCCAAGATTGTGCCACTGTACTCCAGCCTGGGTGACAGAGTGTGAATCCAACTCAAAAAAATAAAAAAATCTTTATTTAATGCTAATATCTGACACACAAAAGAACATAAATAATTAAATACACATATAATATATAATTTCTTCTTTTTTCTGAGGCAGATCTTGCTCTGTCCCCCACACTGGAGTGCAGTGGTGTAATCATAGTTCACTGAAGCCTTGAACTCCTGGGCTCAAGTGATACTTCTGTCTCAGCCTCCCACCTTGGCTTCCTGAGTAGCTGGGACTACAGGTGTGTACCACCATGCTTGGCTAATTTTTATATTTTTTTGTAGAGATGGGATGTTGCCATGTCCAGGCTGTTCTTGAAATCCTGGGCTCAAGTAATCCTCCCGCCTCAGTCTCCCAAAGTGTTAGGATTACCGGCATAAGCCACCAGGCCAAGTAAATATATAATTATATAACATAAATAGTAAATATATAACTATATAAAACATATTCATGCTGTAAAACATACAATAATGAATATTCCAGAAATGACTACCTTACTGAAAAATGAACTTGTATTAACTATGTGTTCTTACATCATTCCATCCTCACACACTCTTCTAAATTTAACTTAATTATTCCATTTCTCCTTTTAAACAGAGTTCTATTACTGGCATACATGTATACTTGATTCAACAATATATATTAGTTTACTTCTTCCTGCACTTTATAAAAATCATACAGTAATCCCTCCTACCTGAGGGGGATACATTCCAAGACTCCCAGTGGAGGCCTGAAACCGTGGATAGGATCCAGTTTTATATATTTACTATGTTTTTTCAATCTGATAACTGAGAGGCAGGGAGCCTCTACAGTGTGGATACACTGGGTAAAGAGGTGATTTGCATCCCGTGTGGACTGAGCCCGACAGCAGGTGATTTCATCATGCTACTCAGAATGGTGGACAACTTAAAAACTTACTTATTTTTGGAATTTTTCCATTTAATAGTTTTGGACCAAGATCGACTGTAGGTAACTGAAACCATGGAAAAGAAAGCCGCAGATAAGGGGGGATTACGGTGTACTGTCCGCAGATTAGTCCAATTTGGGATTTTTTATTCAATATTGTATTTCTAAGATGCATTTATGTTATGTTTATTCAGTTTCCTTGCTGCACAATTCAATGCTCATTAAGTTGAATATACTACACGGTATTTATCCATTTTCTGTAGACAGGCATTTAGATTGCTTCCTGTTCGACTGTGTCTTGCTATAGTCTACAGTAGATACCAAGGAGCAGAATTTCTGGGCCACAGGATATGCATATGTTCAAAAAAAGAAAACCAAGAGATCGCCACATTGTTTCCCAAAGGCACTATGCCAGCTTACAACCCCATTAACATTGTTTAAAAGGAACTCTTGATCCATATCCTTCCTAACCGCACCGGGTGAGGGGAAAATGGCATCTTCCTGTGGTAGTACTTAGCACTTCCTGATTACTAGTGAGACTGAGAATTGTTTCTTACATTTATTCATCACATATATAATTTCTTTTTGTGAAATGTCTGTTAATATCTTTTATGCATTTTTCTATTTTATTACTTTTCATCAATTTATATGTTTTTGTATATTAATCTTTTGTGGATTAAATGTGTTACATGTTTTCCCTCTGGCTTGCCTCTCTTTAATTAAAAAAACTAAACTTTAATATACTTGAATTCATTTAACATTTTCTTTTATAGTTATTTTGTGTCTTCTTTAAGAAGAAAACGTTCCTTACTCCACAGCCAGAAAGATCATCTCCTATATTTTACTCTTATTTTTAACATTTTGTTTTTGATACTTGAGCCCTTAATTCATGTGGAATTGAATTTTTGTGTAAGATATGAAGATTGAAATTAACTAAGCAATTGCCCCAGTACATTTCCCGAATAGTCCCTTCTCTTCATAACAATTTTCAATAATATATCACAGTTCTTTATGTTAACATATCATATATCACAGTTTTTAACATATCACAGTTCTATATGTTAGTGCAGAGGTCCCCAACTGTTTTTGGCACCAACTGTTTTTGGTTTCATAGAAGACAGATTTTCCATGGACGGCGTAGGGGGTGGTTTCGGGATGATTTAAGTGCATCACATTTATCGTGCACTTTATTTCTATTATTATTACATTGTGAAATGACTATACAACTCACCACAATGCAGAATCAGTGGGAGCCCTGAGCTTGTGTCCTGCAACTAGATGGTCCCATCTGGAGGTGATGGGAGACAATGACAGATCATAAGGCATTAGTTTCTCATAAGGATTGTGCAACCTAGATCCCTTGCATGTGCATGCAGTTCACAATAGGGTTTGCGCTCCTATGAGAATCTAAGGCAGAGGAGGAGAAGCTCAGGCAGTAATGCAAGTGATAGGGAGTTGCTGTAAATAGAGATGAAGCTCACATGCCACTCACTTCCTGCAGTGTAGCCCAGCTTCTAACAGGCCACAGACTGTCTGTGCTCTGGGAATTGGGACCCCTGTGTTAGAGTCTGTTTCTGGGCTTTCCATTTAGTCTTCCTAGCCATTTTTGTTTATGCTTGAGCAAAATGCATAATGTTTTGTTTTATTATAAAAGTAAGGCAATTCTGACTTATTTTTATTTTCAAGAGTGTCAGGTCTATTCTTCAAGCTTTACCTTTCCATATAAAGACCTGCTTTTCAAGTGCCATAAAAAACCCTGCTGGTGCTTTGCTTACAATAGCATTGACTCTATAAATCAAATTGGGAAAAACTGACATGTTCATAACATGTGCCTTCTTATCCATGAACATTATATATCTGTTTATGTAGGCTGTTTAAAATACTTTTTGATAAAGTTTTATCTCTTGCGCATACAGGTGTTAATAATTTTTATAAGATTTACTGAGAACTTTATATTTTTGAAACAATGTATACTTTTAAAAATTACACTTTCAAATTTTGTGCTATTGTACAGAAATGCAACTTTTTAATTTTTGAGTTTATAGGAAGTTACTTTGAGGAAAATAGTGTTTCCAAAAAACTGTCTGTAGATTCTTTGGGGTTTACTATACAGATAATCATATCATCTCTGAATAATATTTTGCTTTTTCTTCTTTATACTTTTGCCATTTCTTTCTTTCTTTCTTTTTTTTTGAGACGGAGTCTGACTCTATTGCCCAGGCTAGAGTACAGTGATGCAATCTTGGCTCACTGCAATCTCTGCCTCCTGGGTTCAAGTGATTTTTCTGCCTCAGCCTCCTGAATGGCTGGGATTACAGGCTGTGCCACCATGCCTGGCTAATTTATATGTTTTTAGGATGGGGGTTTCACCATGTTGATCAGGCTGGTCTCGAACTCCTAACCTCAAGTGATCTGCCCACTTTGGCCTCCCAAAGTGCTGGGATTATAGGCGTGAGCCACTGAGCCCAGCCTAATTTCTTTTTATTGATTTACTATACGTGCTAGGAGTTTCAGTACAAGGTTGAAAAGAAGTGGTGATGGTCTGCATTCTTTTTCCTGATTTCAAAAAACTTTTTTCTTATTTTCTCATTAAGAATCATCTTTGAAGTAGACGTTCTGTTGATTCTTTTCACCACATTATTTACATTAGTTTTACATCATAAATGGGTATGGATTATGTCAAATGCAATCTAAAATGATTCCATAGTTTTCTCCTTTAATTTGGTGATGAAACTTTTACGTTTTCCTAGAGTTAGACCATTTTCAGTATTTCTGGGATAAACCCAACAAGTTGGATATATCAAGGTATATCTTTTTTTTAAAGAAATGTGCTGCTGGAGTCAATCTGTTAATATTTTACTTAATGGTTTTGAAACCTAAGTTCATGAGGTTAGTGGTCTCTAACTTAAAAATTACACATGGCAACATATATAACTATGAATAATTTTTCTTTCTCACAATGTCTGGTTTTGTTTTAAAGGCTATACCCGTTTCAAGGAATTAACTGGTATGCCATACCCTTTTCTTATGTCTGGAAGTCTGTTTATATTAGGATGAGGTATTTCTCAATTCATACTTGCAAAATCAATAGACCTTGTTGTGTTCTTTGTGAGAAGATTTCTAAAAAATGTATTACTTCAATTTATTTGAGAATTAGAAGACTCTTCAGGTTTTCTTTTTGTTCTTGAATCAGTTTAAGTACATTACGTTTTTCTAAGAATTCGACTTGTTTTTCAATTTATTGGCATAAAGTTGTAATTATACCCCTTTCTTATCTCTTAATTTGATATAATTATAGTTTTGTTTCACCCTTTTCCCTTACACTGAGTATCTGTACTTTTTATCTAATTTTGCCAGAAGTTTATTTTACTATTTGTTTCAAAGAAATATAACTTGTAGATTGTTCATCTTCTCTATTGTATCTTTGTTTTCTATTTTACTGATTTCTATACCTAGTAACAGAACTTAGAAATACACAAATCAAAAACTTACAGGACTAAAATAATATATAAACAAATTCATAATTATTAATATAGTTGAATATTTTAGCCTCTTAACAATTTATAGAAGACCAAGAAAATCAGTAAAGACAAAGAAAACATGAACAATACTATCATGATCTTAACCTAACTGATGTTTCTAAAATGCTCCACCTACAGCAGAAGTCAGTATTCCTTTCTAGAGCACATGAAACATTTACCAAGGTAGACCATATTCTGGCCCATAAAACAAGCTTGAATAAGTGGGAAAGAATGAAAATCATACAAAGTATGTTCATTTACTACAATGGAATTAAACTAGCTACCAACTAAAGAAAGATATCTAGAAAACACCCAAATAGTTGGAAACCAAATATCATACTCCTAAATAACTCATGGGCCAAAAAAATCAGAAGGAAAACTAAAAAGTACTTTACACGGAATGAAAATGAAAACATGACAGATCAAATTTGTCACAAATTTACAGGAAACTTTTAGCACTAAACATCTACATTAGAAAAGAAGAGAGGGATCAAGTCAATGATACAACTTATATTAAAAACTTAAGAAAAAAACTATTAAAAACCTAAAAAAAGAATAAAAAATTAAATCCTAAGAAGCAGAAGACAAATTACAAAGATAAAAGCAGACATAAATGAAAGAGAAAACAAAAAGATGTTGAAAAGTCAGTGGGGATCCCCAAACTGATTATTTAAAATCAATAAAACTGGCCAGGCATGGTGGCTGAGGTGAGTGTATCACTGGAGCTCAGGAGTTTGAGACTGGTCTGGGCAACATCGTGAAACCTCATCTCTACTAAAAGTACACAAAATTAGCCAGGTGTGGTGGTACCTGCCTGTAATCCCAACTACTCAGAAGGCTGAGGTACGAGAATGACTTCAACCCAGGAGGCAGAGGTTTCAGTGAGCTGAGAGTATGTATCACGGACTCCAGCCTGGGAGAGAGTGAGACTCTGTCCCCATCCAAAAATAAATAAATAAATAAAATTCATAAACTTCTAGTGAGTCTGATCAGAAAAAAAAGAGAGAAGATACAAAATACCAATATCGGGATTAAGAGAAGGTCCATTACTACAGATCCTACAGATAGTAAAAGGATAAGAAAATAATATGAAGAACTTTATGCCTATAAATTAAACAACTTAGATGAAATGAACAAATCCCTTGAAAGACACAATTACCAAAGATCACCAAAGAAGAGATAATTTGAATAGCCCTATATCTATTAAAGATACTAGAACTGTAATTAAAAACCTCCCACAAAGAGAACTGTAGTACCAGATGGCTTCACTGGCAAATTCTACCAGATATTTAAAGAAGAACACCAATTCTCTACAGACTCTTTCAGAAAACTAAAGTGAAGGAAACACTTCTAACACATTAAACAAGGCCGTTAATATCCTGGTAACAAAACTTCACAAAAACATTATAATAAAAAACCACAGACCAATATCTCTCATGAACATAAACATAGGTACAAACTGACTGGCTTAGCCACAATGGAGAAGGGTGTTTATGTCAACAGATTTGCAATTTCTAACTTTAGATCTTTTTTTTTCTTGCTTTACCTCTTTTGAGGTTATTTTACTGAATATGTTTAAATTTAGAACTGGTACATCTTTCTGGTAATTTAAACATTTTATCATTATGCAGTCATTCTCTCTAATCTTAATACTTTTTATTTTGAAATACATAGTTTTCAGGTAATTAATATAACTATGCGTACCTCCTTTTGATTAGTTTGTATCTGGTATTTATTTTCCAACTGTTGAAACATTTCTGTTATGTTTTAGGTGTGAGTCATAAAAATATGCAGTTCCTTTAAAAATTTTCCAATTTGACATTATTGTCACTGCTATATTATAGATTATTTTGTATTTGTCCAGATTGTTGAATGCCTTCTTTTTTTCATTTTCTTCTATTGATATTTTTGGGTCATTCTCTTCTTACATCATTATTTTATTCTCACAGGTTTTAGATTTGTGCATTCTTTTAATGATATCCTTAAATTTTATTGTAAAAATGTAACGAAGTCTAAACAATGTATTAAGTCTCTTCTCCTGAACAATAAAAGAACTTTTGAAAACCTAAACTCTGATCATCCCATTCTTGAATATGCATTCTACTTTGTACAGTCTTTCAGTCATTTCTTTTAAAATCCCACAAATCATTATTTTCCACCATGTTTGGGTTTGTATCTTTCAGGTTCAAATCTGCTTTGTCATAAGTCTGCTGCAACTCTGCAAAGCACATTTCTTGTTTGTTAACAGGCTTCTTGTTAGGTTCAGCAAACATGTGCACTAGGAGATTGGAAGGCAAGAGGGAGAAGGGACTTTCTGTTTGCATGCTGCTCCTGTCAGTGTTATGCCAGCAACAGCACTCCAGTCTCCAGGCTCTTTCAGCACTCCCAGACCCAGCCTCATTGCACCTTTCTACGGCAGTGCTGTCCTTTGCATAAGCAGGAGTTCCAGCTCCTCAGGGTTTCTTCTGTGAACTTTCAAATTCTGAAAACTCTAATCACTTGCTGCCACACCTTGAGGTGGAGCTGGTTCCCTACAGTTATCTCTCGTTTACTTCCTTGTTTCCTTTTTCTCTTTCAGCTCTCTACAACAATGCAATCAATTCTCTAAATTAAATTGGCTTTTCTGAAATATCTAGTGTTATTTCTGTTTTCCTGGCAGTACCCTGACAGAAACAGATGCTTTAAGACACCTTTACCTTTGCTGTTAGTTCTACTATAATGTATGTAGGTATGGATTTTTTATTTTTCCAGGTTGGAATACATGATACTTCCTAAGCGTGTTGATTCATTTGTCTCCTTATCTCTATTATAATCCAGGTAAATTTTTTTTTACAAAGCTTGCAATTCACTATTTAATTATGTCTAATTCATGTAACCTATCAACTGAATATCTGACTTACACAATTTATTTTTGTTGAAGAAGTGCGAATTTGCTTTTTAAATTTACCTACTCATTTCTGATACTATTTGTTTTTTCATCTTCGTAATCACATCACTTAAATGTTTTATAATGAAAAACTTCAAGTGTATATAAAAATAAAGGAACTACTCTTTTTAAAGTTGCACTCCTGGCTGGGTTTGGTGGCTCACACCTGTAATCTTAGTAATTTGGGAAGCCAAGGTGGGAGAATTGCTTGAGGCCAGGAGTTTGAGACCAGTCTAGGCAACATAGTGAGACTGCATCTTTACAAAAAAAAAAAAAAAAAAAAATTAAAAATTAGCTTGGCATGGTCCATGCCTGTTGTCCTATTTGGAGGGGCTTGGGGGGTGGGGCAGGGAGGATGAGGCAGAGAATCACTTGAGCCCATGAGTGTGAGGCTGCAGTGAGCTATGACTGTGTCACTGCACTCTAGCCTGGGTGACAGATGGATACCCTCTTTAAATTAAATAAATAAAACATAATGAACCCTCATGTGCTGATCATTCAGCTTCAACATTTATCAACTCATGGCCAATGTTGTTTCATCTATACCCTTATCCATGTTAATGTGAAGCAAATTCCAGATTTCATATAATTTTACCAGTAAATTCTTTAGCATATGCCTCTAAAAGATAAAATCTCAACGTTTAGAATATAAGCTTATGTACATTATGCCTAAAGAAGTGAAAATGATTATTTAATATCATCAAGTATTCAGCTGGTGTTCCTAAGTCCCCCAAGTGTCTTACAGAAGTTTCCTTTTGCTTTTACAGTTTGAATCACAATCTAAATGAGCTCCATACATTGTAATTGGCTGCTTTCTCCTTAAGTCTGCTGTGATCTTTGGAGTCCATCCATCTTCATCAGATTTTTTCTTTCCAAATTTATTTTCGTAGAAGAAATAGGGTTATTTGTCCTGCAGGTTTTCTGCATTAGACTCTGCTATTGCATCCTCATGGCACCATTTAACATGCTCCTTTGTTCCATTATTTCTCATAAATTGTAATTAGAGAAGTGACTGGTTTAGACTTAACTTCTAAAGAGTAGGGATGAAACTATTTTATAGGCAGTGATGTGTGCTTCTAATGAACATACATGCTGCCTGGGTGTCTCTATTTGAGATATTAGTAGCCAGTGATAATTATTGCCATAAATTCATTAAGAGTTACAAAACTGTAATATTCTGAGGTTATCACTGCCAATTTATTAATTGGAATATTCCTAGAGAGACTTTCCCTCATCAACTGCTCACCCCCTGCAAAATACTAATATAGAAAAGGAAAGATACATGCTTTTTACTTTTACTTATATCTATACTGAAAAAAATCTATTTCCATGTGATATGGTTTGTGTCCCCACCCAAATCTCAATTTGAATTGTATTTCCCAGAATTCTCATGTGTTGTGGAAGAGACCCAGTGGGAGGTAATTGAATGATGGGGGCTGGTCTTTCCCATGCTATTCTTGTGTTGGTGAATAAGTCTCATGAGATCTGATGGGTTTATCAGGGGTTTCCACTTCTGCTTCTTCCTCATTTTTCTCTTGCTGCCGCCATGTAAAAAATATCTTTTGCCTCTTGCCATGATTCTGAGGCCTCCTCAGCCATGTGGAACTGTAAGACCAATTAAACCTCTTTTTGTTCCTGGTTTCAGGTATGTCTTTATCAGCAGAGTGAAAACGAACTAGTATACCATACGTTCTCCAAGGCACAATTATCATAGCAAATTCAGTAGTTTAACTGTATGAGATGCATTTCATTCACTGCAGTTATTATCTTCCTGTTGCTCAAACTGTCCTGTGTTTGGCCAATGGGAGCTTATTCAAGTTCATTTCAAATTATTTTGTTACAAACTTTGTTGTCATTGGGAGCTTCCTTGCTTTCCCAGACTTGGTAAGTCAACAGTGGGCTAACAGTAGTTAAGTTTTTGAGGAGTCAAAAGTTATATGTGGATTTTAAGTGGTGTAGGGAGTTGGCACCCCTAACTTCCATGTTGTTCAAGGGTCAACTGTAATTGTGTTTTAAAGTCACTTGGAATAATTCCTCTTGATAATTCCCCTTGATATGGTTATAATACCAACTGAATACACAGTTAGGCTCATTTAATTTTACTTTTAAGTAAAAACTGCTTTATTAAAAATTTTGTGTATTTGTGCCAAATATTTACTTGGTTTCAAAGTCAAACTGAAAAATAATGTAGATTAAAGGATCCCAGCTTCATTCCTTGTCCTCTCCTCCTATTTTCTTTCCTCTATGGAAAACCATTTAAAAATATTTTTAAGATTTAGTCTTCTATTTAAAAATAACTTTTTCTCTATATTTATCCACTCTTCCCTTGCCATTTTAAAAAAAAGATAAATAGTAACCTAAGATATTGTATTTTTTCCACTTTTTTTCCCTCACTTGATAGCATGGAGATTTTATTTCATAGAGATGGTCCTTTTTCTCTTTGACAGCTGTGGAAGCCTCCACTGTGTGGATGTTCACACATAATGTACATCCATGGGGAACTTCTCATTTAATCACTCTACTACTGCTGGGCATTTGGGTTATTTCCACTTTGCTACAAATAAGGTTACAATAAACAGCCTCATTCATAAGTATTTTTGTTTTAATGTTTTTGCCAATGCATTTTTGGAAATATTTACTAAAAGTAGAATTGCTGGCTAAAAGGGTAAATGAATGTATAATTTTGCTAGATACAGTCAATTTCTTCCCTGTAAAGGTCATCCATTTCCTTTTTTTTTTTTTTTTTTGAGACAGTTGCCCAGGAGGAAGTGCAGTGGTGCCTCCCCGGTTCACGCGATTCTCCTGCCTCAGCCTCCTGAGTAGCTGGGATTACAGATGTCTGCTACCATACCAAGCTAATTTTTAAAAAATTTTTTGTAGGGACAGGGCTTCACCATGTTAGACAGGCTGGTTTTGAACTGACCTCAAGTGATCCACTGTCTCAGCCTTCCAAAGTCCTAGGATTATAGACATGAGCCACCGCACCCAGCCCATTTCACATTTTCATTAGCAACTTATGGCCCTGTGTTTCCCCACAGTCTAAGAGGTTTTGTCTTATCAAACTTCTGACTTTTTGCCAATGTGATGAGTGAAAAATATCTCAATATAGTGTGGTTTTGATTTGTTCTTTTTCTAGCTTTTTGAGCTAGAAGCATACATCAATGACTTTCATCTCCTTTCCCCTTTCTGTTTTAAACTAATATATCCATTTAGGTTATAAACTTCCCCTCAAGTACTGCTTTAATTGCATCCCACATGTTCTGATATGCCGTATCTTTTATACTGCATTAGATATTTCAAAATATTTTCTAATTTTGTTACCAAATTAGCTGGAGATTTTTTTTTTTTTTTTTTTTTTTGAGACGGAGTTTCGCTCTTGTTACCCAGGCTGGTAACAATGGTGCGATCTCGGCTCACCGCAACCTCCACCTCCTGGGTTCAGGCAATTCTCCTTCCTCAGCCTCCTGAGTAGCTGGGATTACAGGCATGCGCCACCGTGTCCTAGCTGGAGAATTTTTTTTCTTTAGATGGAGTCATGCTCTGTTGCTCAGGCTGGAGTGCAGTGGAGCAATCACAACTCACTGTAACCTTCACTTACTGAGTTCAAATGATTCTCCTGTGTCAGCCTTCCAAGTAGCTGGGGTTACAAGCATGCACCACCACACCTGGCTAATTTTTGTATTTTTAGTAGAAATGGGGTTTCACCACGTTGGCTAGGCTGGTCTTGAGCTCCTGACCTCAGGTGATCCACAGGCTTTGGTCTCCCAAAGTGTTGGGATTACAGGTGTGAGCCACTGCACCTGGCCTGGAGATTTTCTATCTTTTCTTTTGTTTCTGATCTTTTTTTAGCTTAATTCTACTATGGTCAGAAAACATAATGTAAATGATTTAAATGTATTAAAAGTTAACTGAGGCTTAATTTATGACTCAGGTTATGATCAAGATGGTAAATGTTCCATATAGCTTTTTAAAAATGAGTGGTCTGTCATAGTTGAAATCAACATTATATAAATATCAGTTAGGTTGTTTGTTTTTTAGTAGGATGATTTATATTTTTAGCCAATTTTGTCTGCTTAATTCTATCACTTAGTGAGGGGTATGTTAAATTCCACTATGACTGCAGATTCGTGTTTAATACTTGTTATATAACTTAAAACTATGCTATTAGTTACATATAAATTTATAATTTTCTATATCCCTGGTAGACTGATCATTTTATCATTATGAAATATCTGTCTTTAACTGTAGTAATGCTTCTTGCCTTAAATTACATATTAGTCTGATATTAGTATAGCTACACTGACTTACTTTTTACTAGTATTTGCATGATATATCTTTTTTCTTTTCTGAAAACAGTCACCCAGGCTGGAGGGAACTGGTACAATCATAGCTCACTGCAGCCTCAAACTCCTGGGCTCAGGATTCTCCTGCCTCAGCCTCCAGAGTAGGCAGGGCATGCTACCATGCTTGGGTAGGTTGGTTTATTTGCGTTCTTTGGTAGAGATGGTCTCACTATGTTGTCCAAGCTGGTCTCAAACTCCTGGTCTCAAGCAATCCTCCTGTCTTGGCTTCCCAAAATGCCTGGATTACAGGCATGAGCCACTGTGACTGGCCGATACAGCTTTGAAAAATCTGTATAATTTCAACTGTTGTGTATTTAAGAAGTGTTACTTTTAAAAAGCACATAATTTGGTTAATATTTTTAAACCCAGTTGATAATGTCAGTCTGGAGAACTGGAGTACTTCCTCCTTTTATATTTATTCTGATTACTGATGTATTGGGTTTATCTGTCATTTAACGATTTGCCTTTTATTTCACCCATTCCTTTTGTCCTCCTCTGTCGCTTTAAAAAAATTTATCAAATGTTTGTTTTTCTTTTTCCTTTAATCGCACACGTTTTGCTATTCTTTAAGTGGTTAGCCTAGAAATTGCAACATGCATTTTCAACCTATTACACACTAAAGATTCATATTATTACCTTACTTCCATTCCTTTCTTGATAATGCTAAAACCAGGCACTTCATCAATGAATACTCATGGGAAGTTGACCTCATGTTAATCTTTTGGTTATGTTCCCTTGGAAATCTTCCCCTTGTGGGAAGGGATGAAAGCTGGAGACAAACTTATGATGAGAGACACTGTCTACTCCTCTTCACTGTCCATAAAATAGACTTGACCAGAAACCCAGCTGCCCCTGGGCTAGTTGGCAGAAACGATTTTGCCTTGGTGCGGCTGATGCATTTAGGCCAAACTAGGCATTGTTTCCTGGCTGGGAGTGGGAAGGAGACAAGCACATGGGTTTGAGAGTTTATGTCTGTGACTGGGTCTGTGATAGGACAAAGTGGGTGGAGCAGGCGGCTGGCTCTGACCAAGCTGAGTTGCCTGCTCATCCAGTCAGCACGGAGTGATGTCTATGAGCCACTACCTGAGGAGGTGGAGGACAGTAGAGGAACTACTCTGCAGCAGCCCACACGGTTGCATAGGACTATGTGGTAATCTGGCATACAAACTGGTGCAGTGGCAATGGCAGCAGCTTGGTGCAAGTCTACGGCCACTGGGGGAGCCCTCTAAGCTGCAACCTGAGGATTCTGATAATGCAGATGGATTTAACCCTAAAATGGAATCTGGTCAAAGCCATCTGCTGACAGTGACAATGTCAATGCAAACTCAAAAACTCCCTAAGGAGACAATTAGAGACGGGCTTTTGAAGAAATAATAATGACTAGTATTTTAAAAGTTGAAGCTAAGAGTATATGAGGACCCTTTTGTGAATAGTCAACAGGAAAGGGGCACTTGTACTTTGTTATCACTGTTACTGAATAAGGCATTGGTTTCAATGTGTGGTCCATGGGTCGGCAGTATCACCAGTATCACCTGGGAACTTACTGGATATGTAAATTCTCAAGCCTCACCCTAGAGCTACTGAGTTAGGAAGTAAGTCATAGGGACCAACAATCTGTGTTTTAACAAGGCCTCCAGGTAATTCTTATCTACCCTAAAGTCAGTACTGAAGTTACTAACTCAAGGTTGTGAGTCAGTTTGTGAGCCTAAAATGGAAAACCATGTTGGATTAAACTCGTAGCTTTATTTCCCTAAATATCTAATATCTGTTACAGGTAACATTTGGTAAAAAAAAAAAAAAAATAACACTAGTTGGTAAACCTATCTGGACTGGGATGACTGTAAATAAACTACAAATACCTGATGAAAAGCAACAGCTTTGAGTTTCCAAGTGTCAGGGTTCTCATAGCCAGCCATGTCCCTCCCCATGTAATGTCCATGGGGCTATTACAAAAGATATTGATTCTGTTTTGGAACCTAGGGTATCTAAGTTAGCGTAGCTGCCACAATTAATAATTTGATTTGTTCCCTTCTACCTGAACTGACACGTGGCAGAAAAGGCAGGTGGGCAGAGAATGGACCCTGGACTACGGTGCGAGCTACGTGAGGGCTCTCTGGAGGTATACCCCCGACTCTGCTGCAGCGGCATGGATGTGAAATGTCCAACTGGCCCTAGGACTATCGAACGTGGTCAGTGCCGTTCCCTTCTGCCTTTTATTGCTTTATTATTGTTGTTATTTCATTTTTATTTCTGTTCCCTTCTGCCTTTTATTGCTTTATTATTGTTAGAGTCCATTTTTCCTTCAGCAGATGTTACTGTCCTTACGTTGTACAGCCATCCTCATTTCTCTGTCTCCTCCAATATTTACCCTTTCTGTGCTTTTTTGCTCTTTCTTATATTTCTGAGCCTCCATGTGGGATAATTTTCCTTCTGCCTGAAAAAACACTTTAGTGATTTTTTAGTACAATCTGTTGGTAACACACATCTTTCAGCTTTTAGTGGTCTAAAATCTTTATTTAACTTTCATTTTTAAAAAGTGAGGTATCACTTACATTAACAAATGCTCAAATCCTAAGTGTAACATTCACTTTTGACAATTAAGTAACAAAGTCATAGAAATATCCAACACTCCAGAAAGTTCTTTCATGCTGTATCCCAGTCAACACCTTCCCCCAAAAAGTCATCACTGATCTGATTTCTATTCCTATGTTAGTTTTCCCTATTCTAGAATTTCAAATAGTTAGAATCATTATGCATTTTTTGTGACCAACTTCTTTTGTGAGAGTAATATTGGGATTCATCAATATTGTGGATATTGGTTCTTTTTTGCTGAACAGTATACACTGTCTCAATAGATAACTGTTAACCTATTCTTCTTTTGACAGGCATCTCACTGTTCTCAGTTTTATTGGCTATTATGAATAAAGCTGCTGTAAATATTTTTTTCCAGGTTTTTTGTGAACATATGTTTTCATGTCTCTTTGATAAATATCTAGCTGTAAAATTACTGGGCCATGTGTGTATAACCCTTTAATAATCTGACAAACTGTTTTCCAAAATAATCATATTTTCTACTCCGACAAGCAACATATGAGGGTTCCAGTTGCTCCACATCGTCTCCAACATTTGTTATTATCAGTCCTTTTCACTGTAGCCCTTCTAGAGGGTATGAAAATGGTATTTCACTGGGATTTTTTCATTTATAGATGACTAATATATTGGGTACTTTTAAAATGTAATTACTAGACATATTATATATCATGTTTTGTGAAATGTCTGTTCACAAAACTCTCCTTTAAAAAACTGCATTGTCTTTTAAAAAATTATTAAATTGTATGACTTCTTTATATATTCTGAACCCAAGTTCTACGTCAGATATAAGTATTGTGAATATTTTCTCTAAGTCTGTGTCTATTTCCTTAAGTGTCCGTTGAAGAGAAACTATTTCTTCTTAAGCTGGACTGCAGTGGCCCAATCATAGCTCATTACACTCTCAAAGTCCTGGGCTCAAGCAATCCTCCCACCTCAGCCTCTCAAATAGCTAGGACTACAGGAGTTGCTGGCCAATTTTTAAATTTTTTAACACAGATGGGGTCTTGTTATGTTGCCCTGGTTGGTCTTGAACTCCTGCCTTCAAATAATGCTTCTGTCTCAGCCTCCCAAAGTGCTGGGATTAGACTGTGAGCCACCATACCTAGCTGAGAAATTTTAATGAAGTCCAATTTATCAATTTTTTTTCTTATATAGTTCATGCCTTCTAAGAAGTCTTTACCTACACCAAGAACTTGAAAAGAATATCTTATGTTTTGCTCTGGTAGCTTTATTGATTAAGCTTTACTTTTATGTCTATAATTTTATCTTAATTTGATTTTTGTGAATGATGTGAAGTATGGGTTCTATTTCTTCTTCTATATGCATATCCATGTTTTCCAGCCATATTTATTACAGAGATTTTACGTTCTTCATTCAAATGCTATTGTGCCTTTTGAGATAATCATCTAACCATGCATTGAAGGGTTTATTCTTGGACTCTCTCTTCTGTCCCATTGTTCTATTGGTCTATCGTTTTGCCCATCACACACACAATGATTACTTCATTTGCTTCATATTTAAAGGATATTTGCAGGGTGCAAAGGCCTAGGTTGTTGCTGTTTCTTCCAGCAATTGAAACGTCACTCTGTTGTCTTCTGGTTCCACTGCTCCTGCTGAGAAGTCAGCTGTCAGTCTTGTACATTTAAAAGTGACTTTTTTCCTTCTGTCTTTTAAGACTGTATTCTCTGTCTTTTGTTTTCAGCAATTTGCTACCATGTTCTAGTAAGGCTTCTTTGTATTTATATCTGTGGATCACACACTTTCTTGATTCTGTGGAATAATGTCTTTTGTAATTTTTAGGAAATTCTCAGCCCATTATCTCTTCAAACATTGCTTCTGCCCTGTTCTCTCTCCTCTTCTGGGATTCTGTAGGTTGGATTTTTTTTTTTTTTTATGTGTCCCACATGTCTTTTATTCCCTTATCTTCCCTCTATCTCCACAAATTCCTTTATGTCTTTATATATCAGTTTGGATATTTTCTAATAAAAATATTTTTCTTTTTCATGCTTCAGTTTGAATATTTTCTAATAACATGTTTTGACCTATTTTTCTTCTTTTCTGCTGTGACTAATCATCTGTTCTACTGTTCTACTTTTTATTGTAGTGAAAACTCACAAAATTTATCATCTTAACCATTGTAAATAATAGTTCAGTAGTGTTTACTATATTCACATCATGCAACCAACCTTCAGAACTTTTTTATGTGGCAAAACTGGAACTCAATACCCATCAAACAACTTTTCACACCCCTGTCCTCCCAGTTGGTGGCAACAATCATTCTAATTTCTGTCTCTATGAATATGACTACTCTAGATACCTCATATAAGTGGAATTATTCAGTATTTGCCTTTTTGTGACTGGCTTATTTCACTTACTATAATTCCTTAAGATTCATCCATGTTGTAGCATGTGTTGGAATTTCCTTCCTTTTTAAGCCTGTATTCAGAGTATGTATATCCCATGTTTTGTTTATCCACTCATCTTTGGATGGGCACACAGATGGCTTCCACCTCTTGGCTACTGTAAATAGCATGGCTATGAACATGGATGTACAACTATTTCTCTGGAACCCTGTCTTCAATTCTTTTGGATATCTATCCAGTAGCAGAATTTCTGAATTATATGGTAATTCAATGTTTATTATATGAGAAACTGTGACACTGTTTTCCATAGTAGCTGCACCTTTTTTTTTTTTTTGTTAGTTTTTACTTCACAATCACAAACTTAACTCTGCAATCCAGCTATATGTGGAGGGAGATAATGAAAATATAGGACTCAAAGAACTGTAGTGAGACCACAAAGATTATATGACTCTGAGCAAATGGGGTGGAATGGTGCTTGCCTGAGCTACCAAAGGAAAGGTCTGGTGGTTAAGACAAAACACCAGTCAAATTTATTACTGTTCTCTGCAGTTGGCAATGGCGATCTTGCTTGTCTTGCCATTCCTGGACCCAAAGCATTCCATGGCTTCCACAATATTATGCCTTTTTTCACCTTGCCAAAGATCACATGGTTCCATCCAACCACTCGGCCATGGCAGCGCAGATGAAAAACTGGGAACCATTAGTTTTGGGTCCAGCATTTGCCATGGACAAGATGCCAAGACCTGTGTGCTTCATGATGAAGTTCATATCATCAAATTTATCCCCATAAATGGACTTGCCACCAATTCCATTACGGTGTGTGAAGTCATCACCCTGGCATATAAACCCTGGAATAATTCTGTGAAAGCAGGAACCTTTATAACCAAATCCTTTGTCTTTATTATTCAGAGTGAACGTTTTCTTCTGTCTTTGGAACTTTATCTGCAAATAGCTGAAAGGAGATGTGTCCCAAGGGCTTGCTGTTGATGGTGATATTGAAGGACACACTGGGGATGACCATGGCTAGTAGCAGGGGGTCTTGGGGGCAGCAGTGTCTGCAAAGCCAGCTGCATCATTTTATATTCCCACCAACAGTGCATAGGCGTTTCAATTTCTACATCCTTGCCAATGCTTGTTAATTTTTTAAATAGTGGCCATCCTAATTGGTGTGATGTGAGATTTCATTGTGGTTTAATTTGCATTTTCCTGATGATTTGTGGTACTGAGCATATTTGCATATGTTTGTTGGCTGTTTGCATATAATCTTTGGCGAAATGACTATTCAAGTCCTTTGCATATTTTTTAATTGGGTTATTTTGTTTTTAAGTTGTACAAATTGTTTATATAATTTTGACATTAACCCCTTATTAGATGCATGACTTGCAAATATTTTCTCCCAGTCTGTAGGCTGTCTTTTTACTCTGAATTGTGTCCTCTGATGCCCAGAAGTTTTAAAATTTTAATGTAGTCCAACTGGTCTATTTTTACATTTGTTGCCTATGTTTTGGTGTCATATCCAATAAATACAAATAATGTCTAATGTTTTTTCCAAGAGTTGTACAGTTTTAGGTCTTTGGATCATTTTGAGTTTACTTTTGCATACGGTATAAGGTAAGGGTCCAACTTCATTCTTTTGCATTTGAATATACAGTTTTCCTAACACCACTTGGCACTCTTGTGGAAAATCATTTGACTACATATATGAGGGTTTATCTCTGGGCTCTCCATTGTCTAATTTAATTTTATATCCATTAATTGAGTTCTTAATTTCAGTTATTGCAATTCTCAGCTCTAGAATATCCATTTGATTATTTTTATTCCCTACATGTTCCAATTCTCTGGGGAAAATTTTCCCTTTTATTTATTTTCTCCTTGTCTTCTATTTTCTTGAACGCATTATCATTGCTATTTCAAGTCCTGGTCTTAACTTCACTTCCTGGATCATCTGTGGGTATATTTCTATTGTCTGCACTGTCTCTTGGTTTTCAGTCCCATCTCTTGAATGCCTAGTATAATTTTATCAAAGGGTTGACATTGTGTCTAAAAAATTGTAGAGGCTCCATATGATGTTATCTTCTAAAGAGAGCACTCACACTTTCTTTAGCTTGGCAAGTAGACAATAAACTTAATTCAATAACTGACTTAATTTGGGCTGCTATGCCATTGTGTAAAGGCTATAGTTGGCAATGGTAATCTTCCTGCTGGTCTTGTCATTCCTAGATCCACAGTTCACTTACCCTCAGTTTTGTCCCTTCTTAAAAGGCACAAGTCTCCAGTCCTTCCAAATGAAATCACTGGATAGTCATCAAAAGCCTCTTGTCCTCAATGCTGTGTCTTGAACTCTAATACTTGCCTCCAACAAGTGGTTTTTCGCAGCTTTCTACTTGGCTTTCTGGTCTCCTGTGTTTTGTAGCTTCAGAATTTGCCAACGTACTGTGAAGAGTTCTAGGCTCACATTTTTGTCTTTCCCTTCTCAGCAGGATCTTGGCCTTTCTATTATCCAATCTTATTTCTCTAGCTGTGCAAGACTTCTAAAGGCTGTTGGTTTCTCTGCCTAGATCATCAGCCTCCTGTATTGTAGTAGATTATTCTCTTTTTTTAAAAAAAAAGCTCGGCTGGGTGCGGTGGCTCAAGCCTGTAATCCCAGCACTTTGGGAGGCCAAGGTGGGTGGATCACGAGGTCAAGAGATCGAGACCATCCTGGTCAACATGGTGAAACCCCATCTCTACTAAAAATACAAAACATTAGCTGGGCATGGTGGCATGCACCTGTAATCCTAGCTACTCAGGAGGCTGAGGCAGGAGAATTGCCTGAACCCAGGAGGCAGAGGTTGTGGTGAGCTGAGATCATGCCATTGCATTCCAGCCTGGGTAAGAGCGAAACTCGGTCTCAAGAAAAAAAAAAAAAGCTCATATTTCCATTTTTTTCTCTTTATATTCCATTTGACTATTTTCCATAATTTTCTGCTTTCATTTTCTTTTCTGCTGAATCTAGTCCATTTTTCTAAGATTGCCGACCTTTTTCCTTCTTTTTTAAAGGCTCCTTAGAAATTAGGTTTAAAATCCGTTTATCTGTAATGTAATTTGAAAATACTGCTCACAGCTTTTCATTTTGCTCATAGTGTTTGTATGAAAGGCAAGTTTTAAAAAAAATTAAGTTATTCATCTTTTTCCTTGGTGTGTATGAATTTTGAGTCAATTAGGAAATCTTCCCTATATCCAAGTTACAGAGAAATTCTCATGCATTCTATTTGTACTTGTATGAAGTCATTTTTTAAACATTTTTAATCTCTGAACCATTTAAAATTTATCTTGGTGTGTAGAAGGAATGGATATAATTTTTTTTTTGGACAGAGTCTCACTCTGTTGCCCAGGCTGGAGGGCAGTGGCGCGATCTCGGTTCACTTCAACCTATGCCTCCCAGGTTCAAGTGATTCTCCTGCCCTAGCCTCCCGAGTAGCTGGGATTACAGGTGTGCACCACCACACCCAGCTAATTTTTTTGTAATTTTAGTAGAGACAGGGTTTCACCATGTTGGCCAGGCTGGTCTCGAAGTCCTGACCTCAGGTGATCCACCTACTTTGGCCTCCCAAAGTGCTGGGATTACAGGTGTGAGCCACCATGCCCAGTGAAATAGATATAATTTTACCTTTTCCTGTATTTAGCATTAAAACATGCATTTCCTTTCAGTGATGAGATACTGTCTTTACAGTATTCAAAATTGCCGTATATAATTAGTTTTCTAGTCTTTCCCATTGGTTTGTGCATTCATGTAGCAATATCAAACTACATTAAAGGCTCCATAAGTGTTTAATGTTTTCTAGGTTAAATCTTCCTCTTCTCCTACTGCTCTTTTTTTCACAGTTTATCTAATTATTCTTGATTGTTTGTTCTTTGAGATAAACTTACAATTATTAATAGCTTGGCTGACACCAGAAAAACATAGCATTTTTATTGTTACTGAATTAAAATGACAAATTAACTTACAAGAACTGACATATGATGCTGAGACTTCACGTTCAAGAACATGGTTAAGTCTTCCACTTGTTCAAGCCTCGTTTTGCATTCTTCAGAAGAGTTTTAATAGACATGAAAAAATTTGCCTAACATACTTTCTTTTGAAATTCTCTTACAACTTCTCTTTTTTTGTTGTATATATGAAAGCTATTTATTTTTGTATGATAATTGTACTGATTTCTGGCTTAATCTGTTTTGGTCAATATCCATGCTAAGTAATTTCAATCTTTGAAAATTTGTTGAGGCCTTTTTTATGGCTCAGTCATATGTTAAGTGTTTACAAATGATAAATGTTCCTTCCTTGTGCATGTAAAATAATGAATTTTGTCACTGTTGGATGCAGTGCTCATATATGTCAACTAGGTCAGGTTTGTAATTGTGATTTTTTGGTCTGCTATAATAATAACTGCTCTCAGTTATTATAATTTTATTCAAATCTACTTTGATTGGCAATATGCCCTTTTCTTTGCCAGGTATGTTTACCTTATATATTTTAGACTATGTTATTAAGTTCATACAGTTTATGGAACATACCTATCTTGTGAATTAAATCAATATTACTTTACTAGAGCTACTGTGACAAATTAACACATACTTGGTGATTTAAAACAATAAAAATGTATTCTTTCATAGCTCTGAAAACAAGAGGTCCAAAATCAGTATCACTGAGTCAAAGTCAATGTGTCAGCAGGGCTGTGCTCCCTTCAGAGGATCTAGAGAATCTGCTACTTCCCTCTTCTGGTTTCTTGTGGCTGCTGGCATTCCTTGGCTTGTGGCTGCATAGCTCAACCTCTGTCTTTATCGTCCCATGGCCTTCTCCTCTTCTGGATTAAATCTTGCGCAAAGCCTATTTTATAATGAAGTGCTGGATATCTCATGATTTACTGAATACTGTACCGTCTCCTTCTTTTTAAGAATACATGTGATTGGCTTTAGGATCCACCTGGATAATCCAGGGTAATTGCTCCCTCTCTAGATCCTCAATTTTATCTGCAAAGTCCTCTTCTTTCCATACTGTGTATGTATATAATTTTCACAGGTTCCAGGGATTAGAACATGGGTATCTTTGTGGGGGGCACTATTCAGCCTGCCACAGATCCCTTTATTGTTATAAAATATTCCACTTTAACTCTAGTAATGCTTCTTATTTTAAAGCTTACTTTTTCTGACAAGAGTGTAGCTGTATAGCTGGGTTTAAAAAAAATTCTAGCCCATGTTTAATTCTTAAATTACACAGTCTTTCTCCATTTAACTCCTGATGTACTTGGGTCTGTATTTGCCATTTTACTATTTGTGTTCTACTTTTATGTACCTTTACGCTCCCTGACTTCCTCTGGATTAATCAAATGTTCTACATGATTCCATTTCCTTCTATTAAGTGACATTTTAAAATAATTTTTAGTTGTTAGCCTAGAGCTTAAAACATGCTTTTTTACTTATTAAAGCCAATGTAAATTATTACTTTTACTACTTGGCTGATATCAATTAAGCCTTAGGACTTTTAAACTCCATTTGTTTCCTTCTCATCATTTACGTTATTGTTACCATGAATTTCAGATATACAGTACATAAAATTGAAACTCCTCAGGGTGTACAATTATTATTTTGTACAGTTACTATTCATTTACATATGCTTCCCAGTGTTCTTCATTCTTTCTTCCAAGTCCACATTTCTATCTGGGATGATTTTCCTGATGAACTTCCTTTAATTTTTCAGTGCAGGCCTACTGGTGCCAAATTCTCTCTGTTTTAGGAATAGTTTTGCTGGTTTAGGATTCTAAGCTTGCAGTTTTCTTATTCTAGCCCTTAAAATGTGCTGTTATAATGGCTTCTAGTTTCTATCCTTTCTCTTCAGAAGCTAACAATCTCGTTGTATCTGTGAAGATAACTGGTGAATTTAAGATGGGCCACATACTCTTTGTCACTACCATCAGGCAGAGGATATTTCCCCTGCCTATAATTTTGAGCAGGCCCCAGGACATACTTTGAAAGGCAGCACAGATGAAGTAGTGCTGCTTCGGTTTTATGCACAGGCTCTAAGAGGCCTGGCCCGGATGCTTCTGCTTTCACCCTCTTGAAGCCCTCAGTCATCAGGTGCAAAGGCCCAGCACCCTGCTGGAGAGGGAACTGTCAGCTGTGACAGCTAATGCGGCCACCCCAGTTGAGGCACCAGACATTTGTGTAAAGCCATCTTTGGCGGCAAGCCCCAGTGAAGTCCCCACATGTCTGCAGTTGCATAAATGACTCCAGGTGAGACCAGAAGAGATGCCCAGCTGAGTCCAGTTCAGACTGTTGTGACTCTTAAGTGAAGAATAGTTTTGTTTTATTAAGGTAGTAAATTTTGGGGTGGTGTGTTAGGCAGAAAAAGATAACTGAAATAGTATTTGGTATTAAAATAGAGCATTGTCATGATAGAAACTTAAAACAAGTAGCACTACTTTGGGACTGGGTTATAGACAATTTGGTGGAAGGGCAGCAATGAAACTACTAATGGAGGCTAGAAAGCCACCAAGGAAATTGCTATTTCAGGCTGGACAGAAGCCATGTAATCTGACAAAACAAGTGAGACTGTATCCTGGAAGACAGAAAAAGCACCTATGAAATTATAGATCTGGCTAAGGTTTCCAGGAAGAATGCTGGAAGTGATGAGCAATTTTTCAAAAAACACCTATAACAAGATATTAAAAGAGACAGAAGAACTAAACAAGGAACTGTACAGTTTTCAGGCAGAATTTAGGGGAAAATACTTTCAACCTGGGACATGCAGGGTTACAAAATAAAACTTTCTCAGTACCAGCTTCTACAGCAAAAGGTTCTGAAGTAAAAAAAAAAAAAAAAAATCAGGGTGTTATCAGTAAGACTATGGTTTCAGGGTCAAGATAAAATGAAGGGCACGGCAATATGACCTTGTTACTACTACAGATGCTCCCTGACTTACGATGGGGTTACGCTTGATAAACCCATTGTAAGCTGAAAATATTACGTTGAAATGCATTCAGTACACCTAACCTCATCATAACTTGGTCTATCATTGCTTAAAGGTGCTCAGAACACTTACATGGTGCCATAGTTAAATAAAATCATCTCACACAAAGCCTGTTTTGTAATGAAGTGCTGAATATCTCATGATTTACTGGATACTGTACTGAATGTAAAAAACAGAATGGCTGTATGAGTACTTGAAGTATGGTTGCTACTGAATGCATATCGCTTTCAGACTATCCTAAAGTAAAAGAATTCTAAGCTGAAAAATCGTAAGTTGAGGACCACCTGTTAAGCCACTGCCTAGCAGACGCTCTCAGTTAGACAAAAGGCATCTAAGACTCTTAAAGGTATCATCTCTGATTCACATTCAAAGTACACAGGGGACTTCTTGAAGAATTTTGTGGATGTGGCTTCTCTCTGGTGGAGTGAGTGGTTTATAATTTAAAAGTCCACAAAGCTTTTTAAAGAAGTTGTGCCAGAGTGGAAACTGTGCCAGCTGGGACAGAGACAGTCTAGAAGCAGGCTGAGAAAGCTATTAAGCTACAAAAACAGGACATTTCTCAGCTCTGGGAAAAAAGTCAAGGACTGAGAAATAAAAAAGGGAGCCAACTTCAGAGAACCAAAATAGACTAATCAAATGTTCCCTACCCCTGGAATTGGGGGAATTGCTGACATATAGCCAGATGGATTTCACAACTGCCATGGGATAGCTACATGCCTTCAATTTCCTCTCGTAAATTTAGTCAATTGTGACATCGTATCCTTGCCATAATAATGTAGGTTGTACATGTGGGGGTGGGTGGGACCAATAATTTTTTTTTTCTAATTCATGGGTTTACAGATAAAGAGAAGCTGTATCTGAGGAGCCTCCTCCATACACAGGAATCCTTTCTGAGCTGAGGGGAATATGTTCCAAGACCCTCAGCAGATGCTTCAAACTGCAGATAGTACTGAACTTTATAAACAAAACACTATTTTTTCCTATGATAAAGTTTAATTTATAAATTACACACAGTAAGAGATTAAAAACAATAATAAAACAGAACAATTATAAAATATACTGTAATAGAAGTTATGTGGATATAGTTTGTATCTTTCTCTACTTCAAAATGTCTTATACGATACTCAACTATTTTTGAAAACTCAGCTGACTATGGGTAACTGAAAACCGTGCAAAGGGAAACCACAGTTGAGGGGGAACTACTGTATACAGGTAGACTCTGATCCTGATGCCATAATTGGATGGGACTGTGGGGTTTTTGAGGTGGGTGTTATTTTGCATGTGGGAGGAATTTAAACAATTTGAGCTTGTAAGAGGGCTCAGGTAAATGAGAGAAGACCTAAAATTCTATGCTGCCCTCCTCCTTACCCATGTCTTACCAAGAAGTGAAGTCCTATCCGTTTCCTTGAATCTCAGCTGGCATTGTGATGACTGGCTTCGACCACAAGAACGCAGTTGAAATGATCAGTTTCTAGGCTTTGAGAGGCTGGACAGATTCTGTTCTTTGCCCTTCTGAAGCCCTGACCCATCATGTGCTTATTACTGTGCCAGAGAGACCATGTGGAGCTGGAGAGACCAGATGGACTTGGAAGGATCCCATGGTGCTTAAGAGACCACGTAGAGATGGAGCCTGGACAGCTCCCACTCTTCCAGGCTTCCCCAGAGGCACCAAACATGAGAGTGAAGAGATCCTGGGTATGTAGCAGGAGCAACCTAAGTGACTTCACATGAGCCCAGCAGAATTGCCTGGTAGAACTGCAAATAAATAAATGGCTGCTAAACAGCCATCTGTTTTTAACAACAGGTAACTGATACAGAAATGATATTTTTCCTCTGGGTTATTCTTAAGCTTTTAATGTTCCTAGGTGTGCTTTTCATTGCACCTATTCTGCTTGGGGATCTGCTGAGCTACCTTTCATCCAGTTTGGAAAATTCTAGCCTATTTCTTCAAGTATCACTTCTGCCCGATTCTCTTACTTCTACATCTCTGAGACCCTAATGAGATGTATGTTAGATCTGTGGAGTTTTTCCGTCCTGATTTTTACGCTCTTATCAATCCCCATACTCACTTATTTTCTCTGTGGTCCTGTCTGCCTATTTTTCTAGTTCACCAATTCTGGACTGTGCTCTGTTCAATCTGGTATTAAACCCATTCAAAGGGTTTTCATTACTGTATTTTTAAGTTCTAGAATGCTGATCTGATTTTTAAAATAGTTTCTAGTTCTCTGGTGAAAAGGTATTTCTTTTCATCTATTCATCTTTTCCTTTATTTTTGTGAACATATTAATTGTAATTATCTTAAAGTCCTTGTCTACTAACTATAATATCTCTATTATCTGTAAATCTGCTCCTATTGTCTGCACTATGCTTTGTTGTCAACCATACATTCTTGCTTCTTTGCATATCTAGTATTTTTTTCTAAAAACTGTATTCTGGTCTTTGTGTATAAAGGAACCACAGAGGCTCCAGCTATTATATTTCATCAGGGCAGTTTTTCCCTTCATTCTATTAAGCAAAGAAGTTGTAGGACTGATCAACTCATTCCTGCCTGATAATGAATTAGGTTGAGGCATGCAGTTTAGCAAGACTCAACTGAATCTGACTCAGTTCAGTCAGAATCCCTTGAGTGCCACCACTGAGGAACAAGAATGACATCAGGTGTCTGTCTCCTCAGCCCTAAAGACTTTTTCCTGTTAGAGGTCTCCAGCTTACTTCAGTCTCCCATCCAAATAGCATCAAGACAAAAGTCCTGAGGGGAAAAATCAGCCGTATGCTTCTGTCTGGCTCTGCCACCCAGCATCTCCTTATTTCCTAAGCAGTGTGAGACGGAGAGACTTCACTTTACCTTTCCTAAGTTTTGAGCCTGATCTCCCAGACTCCTGTGTGGCCTTAGTTCTCATCAAATGCTCCTTGGAAAACAACTGGTCATGTGTTTGATTTCTAATCTGTTAATTCCACTTTGAACAACTGCTAAAAGCTTTAATTTTGCTCTTTCCTCAGTAATGGCTTTCTCCCTAGGTTAAAGCCAGTTCTTAGCTCATACCTGGAATCAACAAATGCTGGGGCATGAAGTAGGCGGGAGACACAGCTGGCAATCATCAGCTCACTTTGGAAAAGTTCTTCTCTCACTAGCAATTTAGTTCTTTCATATTTTGTTGCTTGCCTAGTTCTGTGATAGCTTTAAAAACATGATTTTAGAAGTTTATCTGGTTCATTCAAGTTATTGTAATGCACTGACCTGCCTTGACCTACTATACATCCGAACTGGAGTATTACTTTTACATGTGTGTTAACTTTTCATGTTATGTGACTACACTCTCTTATTCTTTGTAGCTGCTTTTCCATGGATTCTTTTGGGTTTTCCAGACATACGATTTTATTAGATACAGTAGGTGGTCTGAATGCCTTTGTTTCCTTTGTCTATATTAATACATTCAAACTCATGTTGAGTAGTAGGAGATATAGTGGACATTCTTGGCTAGTTCTCGACTTGAGTAGAAAAGCATCTAGAAAGCACCTAGTAAGGTCCTGGCTTTTCTGCTAAGTGATGTGTGTGTGTTATTTTGTGTAAAAAAAAGTATCAATTCTTAGAGTTCTTAGAGTCCCCTGCCTTTTGAATTTTATTTTGGTGATCTCCTTTTCCTTTATTAGGTTAGTTAATGACATATCTATTTCACTGATATATGCCTCAAACTCAGCTTTTGGATTCATTATTTCTACTGCTTTTCTGTATAATTAATGCATCTTTTTTCTTTGTTAATTCTTTGCTTTGTTTTAGTTTGGTTTATTTTTCATCCTGGTTTTGGGTGTTTAATTCATATTTTTTCTTCTCATTTTTCACTTTTACCGATTCAGGTACTAAATGCTACGAAAATTTCTCTGAAAACTGTTTTAAATCTGTTCTACAGACTTATTTTGTTTTCATTTATCTTTAAGAAATTCTAAGTTTTATTTTATATTTTCCCTTTGACTCAGTAGCTGTTTAAATGATGTTTTAGAATTTCCGGATAGGTGGGATTTTTATATTGTTTTATTTTTTGCATTCTGGTCAGAAACTGCTACTTTTATTTTCTTCCTTGGAATTTGTTCATTGCTCTAATTTTCACGAATGAATATTCTATGCTCGAATGACAAAAAGATGTATTTTTTACTATCAAAGTTCAGAGTTTGATATATCTAATTATATCTACCTTACTGATTATGCTATTTGGTCTTTTATATTCTTATTATTTTTTTGGTCTGGTATTATGGGGTATATTTTAATCTGTTTCTCTGAATCTCCCTTAGTTTCTGCTTTATGACCTTTGTTTCTGTGTTACTAGGTACATAAATATTAATAATTATTATAAGTTTATTATAAAATGTGGTCTTTAACATTATAAAGTATATTTCTTTGTCTCATCAGGCTTTTTGATCTAAGTTTTTCCTTGTTAGGTATGGAGATCATACACTTTGCTCTCTTATTTGTATTTGCCTTGTAAGCCTTATCCATTCTTTTATTTTTACTTTAAATCTTATTAAATTTTATTTGGATGTTTCTTGAATATAGCATAATGTTTGGTTATGCTTTGTTAACCAATCTGAAAATCCTATTTTTTTTATGGTTAAGGTAAGCACATTTGCAATTACAGATGTAATTAATATGTTTGCCCTTGGTCCTTTGAGTACATCTGGTTAATGTGTGTACATGTGTATTCTTTTACTATATTGTCTATCTTATTTGCATACTGTCTCTTTTCAGGTTATTTTTTGGTATTTAGGAAGGCTTGTACTGTATCTGTACAGTCAGGCCTTTATATAATACCATTACTCTTGCTTCGTCCACCCTTTTCTGGGGCTGTATTCTATGGGTTCCCAACACTATGGAAATTATCTGATAACCTTTTCTTACATTTCTACCTTTCCTCCCCACCAGCACTTGATTTGAAGTACCATTCTTCAGTTCCCAATTGGTACATATTAAGTAATCAGTGAGTTTATTTTACCTTTCACATTTCTCCCATTTTCTCACCATTTTTTAATAATTGTACTATACATACATTTTCAGAGCCCAAACAATCCCCAACTTAGGATTTTTCAACTTTATGATGGTGTGAAAGCAACAGGCATAGAGTAAAAAGCAGTACAACACTCTCTTGAGCTGCAGCTGCCTGTCACCTCCATGATCACAAGGGGAAACAGCTGATCTCTATAATATACTATGCTACCCAACTGTAGGCTAATGTACGTGCTCTGAACACGTTTAAGAAAGGCTAGGCTAAGCTGTGATATTTGGTAGGTTAGGTGCATTAAATACATTTTGACCTATGGTATTTTCGACTTAACAATGGGTTTACCAGATGGAACACCATCGTAAGCTGGGGAGCTTCCATATATACCACTACATACGATACTGTCTTGCCTCTCCTAGAGCCATTATTCAGTCTTGGTTCTATAGACAAATCTATAATGCTTAATGCTAGTCCCTTATACCAATGCTGCTCTGGTCATTTTGGCTGTCTGAAGCTCATCTCTAGACAGTCTTCTCAAGAAGGGGCTCATGGAAACAATATTTGTTGCATGTTAATGACAATTTTTCTGTGGACTCTATGTTGATGGTCAGTTTGGTAGCACATAAAATGCTTGGCTCATATTCTTTTTTCTTTAAGTGCCCTAAATATGTTACTCCATTGTTTTCTGGAATCAAGAGTTGCTGTTGAAAAATCTGATTATATACACTACATATATATAACATAATATATATAAATATATATATTATTATACATATTATATATTGTTATATATGTTATATTATATATTATGTATAATACATATTATATATAACACCTAGTATTATATATTATGTATTATATATAATACTAGGTATTATAATACTAGGTATTATATATAATACATAATATATATATATTTATTTATTTTTTTTCCAAGATGGAGTCTCACTCTGTGAGACTTTCTTTTAAAAACGGAGTAATTTTGCTTGAATAAGCATTGCTATTGGCTGTTCTGGATCAGTTTTCTATGGCACACAGTGCCTCCTTTTAACAAAATATATTTTAAAGAAATAGAATAAGACTCAAATCTTATTTATTTGAATCTAGAGCTTAAAATATGTTCCTCTCTAACATATTATCTTCAATTTTTATTTAACTCTCTATTTTATTTTAGTCACTCATCACTTCTGTCCTGTATGTCCCTTTCTGTGTTTGTGCTATGTTCTTCTTTCTGCTCCCTCCAATTTTGTCACCATTTCTGTGACAAAATTTTTCTACTATGGCCTTTTTGGCCTGGTACTCAAGTTTAATATATTTCAGTTTTCTATCTCCTGTTTTGATATCCCTTCCTAATCTTTCTCCTGTTTGTATATTTTTGCTTTGTAGTCTTTATTTATAAAGGCAACTGTTCAATATAATTTTTTAAAAAATTGAGACAGGGTCTCACTCTGTTGCCCAGGCTGGAGTGTAGTGGCTCACTGTAGCCTCGAATTCCTGGGCTTAAGCAATCTTCTCACTTCAACCTCCCAAGTAGCTGAGACTACAGGTATGCGTGAGCATGCCTGGCTAATTTTTTATTTCTTTGTAGATACTGTGTGTCAATACATTGCCCAGGCTGGCTCAAACTCCTGGGCTCAAATAATCCTCCTGCCTTGTCCATCAAAGTGCTGAGATTACCGACATGAGCTATGGTGCCTGGCCTAATATTTTAACTCAAGGAGAAAAGTTTTAGTCTGAATTATAATGTGTTCCATGACAGTATTTTTCCTGCTGTGTAGTCTTGGTAAGTTTTGCTGCTTTTTCCTATGGTTTTCTTTTATTGATCGATTGACCCAGGACAGAGTGCAGTGGCAAGACTTCGGCTCACTGCAACCTCTGCCTCCCGGGTTCAAGCCGATTCTCCTGCCTCAGCCTCCCAAAGTGCTGGGATTACAGGTGTGAGCCACCGTGCCCGGCCAGTTTTCTTTTATTTTTATATCAGTGCTGGGTCTGCTCTGTTTATTACTCAGGATTTTCCTGGTTGGGCTACTTGTAGAAAGTTCCTTCAGGTAGGAGAATTTTGCTGATGTTTTCTGAAATTGCTAACCCTGCCTCACTTCTGCTACAATTAATCTTGTGTGGATTACAACCACTTTTGGCAATCCTTACTTTTTTGGAGTGTGGCAATCATGTGTTTGCTCTAGTTTCATTTTTTTTTTTGAGATGGGGTTTCGCTCTTGTTACCCAGGCTGGAGTGCAATGGCGCGATCTCGGCTCACCGCAACCTCCGCCTCCTGGGTTCAGGCAATTCTCCTGCCTCAGCCTCCCGACTAGCTGGGATTACAGGCGTGTGCCACCATGCCCAGCTAATTTTTTGTATTTTGAGTAGAGACGGGGTTTCACCATGTTGACCAGGATGTTCTCCATCTCTTGACCTCGTGATCCACCCGCCTTGGCCTCCCAAAGTGCTGGGATTACAGGCTTGAGCTACCGCGCCCGGCCGCTCTAGTTTCATTACAACTGGAGTCTGCTGATGATTTTTCCATGTGTGGTATCCAGAGGATGAAGGAAGTTGCTATCTCACAATGTCACATTCACACCTGAAGTTGGGTTGATTCTTTGAATAACTATCTTAATATTCCACAGTAATAGAGAGATTCTTAGCCATAAGGTAATAAAATTAAATTTAAAAAACCCCCCTCTTTACACAAATATCACACAGAAGTAGGCATCTTAGAACCTCTCAATGATATTTTCTGTAGGCTCTATGAAAATGCAATTTGGCAAATATTTTGTTTCATGATTTCAAGAGGAAAGATATTTCAAAGTGTGTTTCCCATCCATCATTCAAAATACCAAACATTCTTCACCATCAGAATATCTGACTTATTTCATATACCTAGATTCCATGGTTTCCAATACTACCACCTCTATACACACATACTGGAGTAAAGAAAAGAAATCTGACTAGGCAAGTTTCACCACAGAAGGCAGGCAAAGAGACAGAAAAGAATACTATCCAAGTGATGGGAAAGTGACTGAAAGGTTCTGAGGGGAGTTACTTCACATTATCCTTTTAGCCACCAAGTGCTAATAAGTAACTAACAGAAGAGGTTAGAGCTACTTAAGAGCAAGTAAGCCAGAAAAGAGGTTAAAAGGAGGGCAATTGTTTCCAGCTTTTCTGTGGGGTGACTTACCTTTTCCAAAACTTTGGCAATTCGGGTGCCAATTTGTTCAAGTGACTGTTGTGGATATTGGTCTTTGCCAAGATTTTGCAATACCTGGAAGGGAGGAAGACGGTAGATTAGAAGAATGAAAACGAGGCAGGATGTGGATGATACTGCTAATGCTGAGTTGGGCACTGTACCACAGAGGCAAACTTTTTCTGGGCTACATGTTGTGGTCCTATTAGTAAGGTAATCTATGAAAGAAACATGTAAGGCTGTTTTATCAGCCCCTCAGCCCTACTACATTTAACAAAAATTACAGAATGTAAATCACATTCATTATAGCAACATTAGAACACATAGTAAATGAAATAAACTATGTGTAATTTTGTCACCCAGACATGTAAAGATGTATATAGAGCTGTATTAACAACCACTTTTGCCGGGCGCGGTGGCTCACACTTGTAATCCCAGCACTTTGGGAGGCTGAGGCGGGTGAATCACAAGGTCAAGAGATTGAGACCATCCTGGTTAACATGGTTTCTACTAAAAACGCAAAAAATTAGCTGGGCATGGTGGCGTGTGCCTGTAATCCCAGCTACTCAGGAGGCTGAGGCAGTAGAATTGCCTGAACCCAGGAGGCAGAGGTTGCGGTGAGCCAAGATCGTGCCATTGCACTCCAGCCTGGGCAACAACAGCAAAACTCTGTCTCAAAAAAACCAAAAAACAAAAAAAACCCAACCACTTTTAATACCTTTATATAAATCTTTCAGATAGTTTTCTATGTACATTCTTTCTCACAAAATATTGAATTACACTGTATACTGTTACCTATGTTTTCACATTATATATTGTGAAAATTTACTCATGTCAAAAATAATATTTCTACGTATATTTTCTAACATACTATCTTACATCTATACCAAAATTTATTTAACCGATCCTCGAATGTTGGAAACTTGTGACATGTTTTCCCAATTCTTCTAGGTATACACTTTGCTAAGGTATATACTGGGTCTGCCTTCCTTTCCTTCCTTCTTAAAAATGTCAACAGGAGAATTAACTGCCCCAAATATTTTTCTCAAGAGTCTGTATCTGATGACAAGGCAGCACTAATCCCCTTGAGGGGTAAATCAGAATTAAAATTTCATAGTCATAAAGAAATAAAAGAATAATAAGCTCAGTCCCAGGGCCTGAAAGAAATCAGACTTAGCCCAAATCCACCTAGATGATGCCTAACTGAAAAAAGGCCCTATTTTTTTTCAAAAGTCCTGGTCACCTGTGCTTTCCACTATCAATTTGCATCCTAACTGTGAGGCTAAAAAACAGCCTGAACAAAACGAAGCACTCACCTCTGTTAACTGACTCTCTCCCGTGTAGTGCAGGCTGGCTCGGTTGGAAACCCCATGCAAGTGGTCCAGGGTATGCATACTGGTGGGGAGATTGCCATTGCAAAGAGGCTCCATTGCTGGCTGCTGTATAGGGGTGGCAAAGTCTATGTGTTCTGTGATGCTGAAAAATGGAGATTACATTAGCTATGGGAAATTTCTGAATGGGTGGGAAGAGAAGAGAAACAGCATCAACAATCAGCTCATCATAGCTTCAACATGCTATTCCCTGGTTTTAAACGATTTAAGTTTTCTTCTAGAATTTCTTCTTCCAAGATATAAGTGGTGATAAATATCCACAACTGGCTATTATCTTTTATTTTATGCACAGCAGTACACTGCTCCCCACAGAAAAAGTTAACTAAAGCTCCAACAGTAAATTTTATACAAATACACCCACACATTGTATTTAGTTCTAAGACTTAAGTACTTCCTTTCATTTGCCCACCATATACAAGATAAATACTATAGACTATCATAGGCACCAATATGACAAATTGGCACTGCCATGTTTTACTTCCAGCTATTTAAAAATCTAAGCATTATTAGACAAACATTCACTCATTATTTATTTAGAGCCTGTTACATGTCAGATACAAGGACTATAATAATGAGCGACACATGGCTATCGTGTTCATTCTCTTGTGATTCATTTATTACACATGGTAAGTTATAAAAGGTAAAATATGGTGCAATGACACTATACTCCAGGAGGGTACATGTTGCCTCTGCACTGGTGGAGGAGGGAGGTAGCTAGTGAACGATTCTGAGGTAAGATTTAAGTTGAGACCAGAAGGGTTAGTATGAATTAACCAGCTGAGAACCTGCAGCGAGAACAATGCCACAGGCAAAGGAGACACCATGTGTGACAGTCCTGGCAGGAGACAGGGCAAGAGAGAGGATGAAAAGATGGGCAGGGAGCAGATCAAGAAAGGTTTTATGGTCCACGTTAAATAGCAGTAAGAAGTTCCTAGAAGAATTCCGAGGACCATGAAGAGAACGGATTGAACAGAGGAAGAAGACCAGCTAGGAGGTACTGGATGAACCCATGTAGGGATAGTGGTGCTCTGGTTTGAGGAGGCAGCAATGGAGATGGAGAAAAGTAGATGGTTTTGAAAAATACTCTGGGAGTAAAAGTGACATGAATTGGTAACAGGCTGAATTTGAAGAGCAAGGAAGGAAAATTGTTAAGTTATGATAACTCCCAGGCTTTTTTTGGCTTAAGCACTGCTGGAGCTATTTACTAAAAATAGGAAAAGAAAAAACAAACAAAGCAATAATTTTTTAATATGGAGAGTGGGCAAGAAAATTTTTTAATATGGAGAGTGAGCATGAGGTGCTGAGAGCAATCTAGACAGACAGGTCAGGGAGACAGGCAAATGAGTTGAAAGCATTGTAAAAAGGTCTGGTCTAGAGATTCAAGTTTGGGAGCCGTTAGTACATCTGTGTTGACTGGGATTTTGGGAGTAGATCAGTCTGACTAGAAGTGATTACAAAATAAGAAGGCTTAGTGCTAAATCCTGGGAAACTCTAATACTTAAAAGGTAGAAAAGGGGTCAGGCAAAAGAGAATGAGTATTCAGTGAGAAAAAAGCAGTTATCAGAGGCACCTACCTCAGTCTCAGTCTCAGTAGGTGTTTACAAATCTGAATTTGCTCTGGCTCCCTTACAACTGCATGGTATTCATGAGAAACCATGGGTTTTGTGCTTCAATAAAGAGGGATCCAGTCTTCGATTCAAACTAAGCAAGTTATACATGGCTGCTAGATAGCTTACAAAGGGCAGATGAAGGCACCAAGAAGGTGGGTACACTCACTGCTTTGCTACAATGGGTTGGGTCCACCCGGGGGCCATGCTCAACATGGTCATCCTTTGAATGATGAGCTCTAGAAAGGGTGACTCTTCTACTAAGCTGCTGACTAAGAGGGCATCCCTAAAGTCAGCTGGGTTCAATGAAACTCAAATGCCATAAAGGAGGGAGAGGCTTAACATACTTACTCAATGTTTTTTGAAGAAACTGCAAGCCAGGTACTCACGATGGCAGTCAGCTCTACCCAGCGGAGTTTGAGGCATTCGTCTGGGCTGGGCCATCCCAGACTCTGGTAGTCACGTTTTTTTCCTAAAAGAAAAGCACGCCATGAATCCAGTCAATTGCAAAGGAACAGAACCCAAAGTCCCTTATGCCATAGTGATTACTTCACCCAGATTGGTGTATTTGAAGGTGCTAGTCATTCTTCTAGTCTTTAGACTTTCCCCCATCTATGGTCTAATTAAAATCTTGTTACTTCATCCATAGGAATTAAGATCATCTCTGAGTAAAGCCTTATTCTCAAAGACAGATGGAGAAGTTAGAATATATGAGTCCTTTGTTGGATGTAAGACTGAGCAACATGAAATAAGGGTTAAGGTATTCTTCAATGCCAACATTCTTATCAAACTTAATTTTTACCCTTCTATATTTTGATTTTATAAAGACAACTCCAACTTAGTAGAAACATGTATCTCTAAAGCAGGGTTTCTCAACCTGGTATTAGTGACATTTTGGGCTGGGTAATTTTTTGACAGACTTGTCCTGTGCAATGGAGGGTATTTAGCACCATCTTTGACCTCCACCCACTGGATGTTGGTAGCACCGTTCCCCAACAACCAAAAAGTGTCTCCACATATTGCCAAATGTCCCCTGGGGGGCAAAATCACCCCCATTAGAGAGAACCACTGCTTTAAAGAGCAGCAGGGAATAATGATGCTAACGAAAGATTATCATCTCCCCCCTGCCCCCGCCACAACACTACAGTCCAAGAACCAGACTGGTTATCATCTATTTAAAGAGCACTTCCTGTATGTTCAGATCCCATGCTAAGTGCTTTGCATCCTTAACCTTATGAGGTAGATTTTTTTGCCATTTTTCTTTTTTTCAGTTAGAGACAGCACTTTGCTTTCTTGCCCAGAGTGCAGTGGCATGATACTAGCTTTCTGTAGCCTTAACCTCCTGGGCTCAAGTGATATTCCCAGGTTGGCCTCCCAAAGTACTGGGATTATAGACGTGAGCCACTGCATCTGGCCTGAAGTAGGTTTTAACCCTCACTTCTGAGTACACAGAGACTCAGAGAGACTGGGTGACTTGCCCAGGGTCACCTGTCTAGCAGGTGGCAGAGCTGGGATCCAGATCCAAGTCTGCTTGACTCTAACGTGTATGTTCCCAATCAACAAGCTATTTAAAGCTACAAAAAATTTTAAAACTCTGTTTATTAATATCCTTCGTAGGTACTACTTTTTGGGTCTGGGCCCTTTACTTACACCAAATCCCCAAGAAAAGAGCAGAACTGTCTTGTCTGGGAAGGGTTTTTCCGAAGGAGTTATAATGGAATAGGCAGGAAGGAGAACTTTAGTTCTGTATAGCACTTTTTATATTATAGTAATTTACCAACAGTAGAAAACTGTTTGAGGTACAGGCAGGGGTTTAGATTGAGATTTTAACAAAACAGAAAGGAAAAGTTTGAAAGAGTTTCAAATTGATTCTGTTTAAATTAATAACTTAAATAAGCCATAATTTTCACAAAAAATCTTATTTTTCTTTTACATTTAATACTTTCATTTGAAAAATGTTTATTGAGCACTTGTTATAAGGGGCTAGGAACCATAAAAGACACTAAGGGGTACAGACAGGAATAAGACGGCCTGCTCTTGAGCTCACAGTCTAGTAAGGAAGGTAAACATAAACAGATCATTACAATACAATAGAAAAAGAGCAAGAGCGAAGGTGGAGAACAATTGCACAGAGGAAAGAGTAACTAATTCTGCCTGAAGGTAACAAGGGAGAGATGGCACTTGATTTTGAGGTTTAAGGATGAGTACTATTCTAGCACGGCAGAGGGGGCATAGGGCATTCCAGGCAGAGGGAACAGCATGTGCAAAGGCACTGAGGTAAAAAAACATGAGCATGGCTGGTTCAGAAAATGGTGTTGAAGGGTACACAGAGGCGGGTTGTAAAGGGTCTTGTACACCACACTAGGAAGTTTGAATTTTATCCTGTAGGCAATGGGAAGGCTTCAAGCCCACATCTCTCCATCTGGTTCACAAGGATATCATAAGAGGCTCTGTTAAATGCCTTGCTGAAATCCAGTTACATTATGTCTATGGCACTTTCCTGGTCTTCCAGTCTAGTAGCCCTAACCAAAAAAGGAAATGAAATTAGTTAAGCATTATTATTAGTCTTAGAAAATCTACAATGGCTCTTAATGATCTCCATTTTTCCCCCATGGGCTCACCAACTATTTAATACTTTGCTTTATAACTCTGTCAGGATTTACCATGAAGACGATTAGTTAGTAGTGAATAGAATCCAGACTTATTTGAAAATTGGGATTTTGAATCTCTCTAGTATTTCTGTCCTCTATGTTTTAGAGCTTTTCACTTTAATGCCAATAAGTGGTTCCATTATCTCATTTGCAAGTACATTTGAAGCCCTACTTGGGCCCACCAACTTAGTACATTTAAAACTGCTTAAGTGCTCTCATACCATCCCAGCCATATTCGGCTTTAATTTTCACTTTTATAAGAAATTTGCAGTTTTTTGTTTATAAAAGTAATAAAGGCTTATTATAAAATATTTAGAAAATGGAAAGGTCATACAGAATAAAATAAAAATCAACTATAGCTCTGTTAGCACCCAGAGATGACCATTTATAACATTTTGATGTATTTCCTCCTAGCTTTGTTTCTCTGTGCTTATTTATTATACCATATTTCATCAAATCTAAGATGCTAACAACTATAAGTATACATTGTTTTACAGGATTTAAAAAAAAAAACAGTGGCAATTATTATATAAGATACTATCAACTGTAATATGTATTCCAGTTTCAGAGATATTGAAATGTGGAAAAAATGTAGCAAGTTTACTACTTTACAAAGATTGAGGTATTCTCTACATTTGCTACTTGATAAATTGCTTTACTTACTGTATTACCAATATCTTGGCTGCATATTACGCAGCATAGGCGTGTTATGATTTATTTAGGCAATTACAACATTTAGATTGTTTATGATTTTTTTTATAAGTAATCCCATGATCAATATCTTTCTATGTATATCTATGGCACTTGTAAGATGATTTACTTAGGGTAAATTACTAGAAGTAGAATAACTGGTATATTTTTAAATTTCCTGATGCATCTAGTCAAACTCCTCCAAAATTCACTTCATTTAAATAAAGCGTGTATTACACGTTTAAAAACAATTTGATAATCAAAACTGGTATCTTACTGTTTATGCCTGCATTCTTTTGATTGCTAATGAGGTTGAACATCTTCCCTAGTGGCTGTATGTGTGTGTGTGTGTGTGTGTATTTATATTGGTGAACTGCCTATGTACTCTGCACCTATTTTATTGAAATACTTTATGTTTCATACTGATTTGTAGGTGCTCTTTAAATGATATTGATGCCCTTTGCTTATCATATATTCTGCAAATATATATAAATAATTCACAAAAAATACTTTGCTTCAGTCCTTTGTCTCATTTTGTGGTGCTTTCCAATGTCAGAATTATTATTTTCTTTCTCTCTCTTTGCCTCAGAAAGTTCTTTCCACATGGAAAGAGCATGTAAATATTCACCTAGTTTTTCACGTTAAATCCACCGGAATTTTCATTTACATAATGCTTTAGAGTTTGAACTTGTTTTCATTGATACAGAAGACAGACTGGTTTCTTGTTCATGTTACCCCTTTATCATCTCATCTGAACGATTTCAAGTTACAAATACAACCTTTGTGAGACGAGACAATGACATCTAAAAGAATAAACTGGCTTATTAAACATTCAGTTTACCTTGTGGCCCAGGAGACGCCACCTTGGGGCCAGTGATCTCCAGGTTTGCTTGGTAACGATGCCCATTTTCTATCTGACTTGATTCTACTTTTTTCCCAGGAGTTTTCTTCTGATCTCCTTTGGGTTTCTTTACACGTTTGACCTGGAATGTAATCTGGGAAACAGAAACATGTTAGGGACAAATGAGACGAGCTATCAAATCTGTTGATGACTTGTGAATACTACTTTAAGAATAACCCAGTCCTGTGCTCAGGTTAAGTTACCTTCTTGAGTTTAATTCTTAAAGACCTAAATAGAAAATGGTTAGTGAAATGAACAAAATAACCTAGTCTTGAAGAATGTATAGAAGAAACTGAAAACAAAGATGTCTGAACTGGGCAGCTCCAAGTCTGCAGTTTTGACTCTGGCTTCACACCCATTTCCTCCTGCCTTCCAGAAGAGCCAGCAATACGTAAGTAACATGAAATGCTTCTTCCCAGTAAAATTCCCATGTGAAGGCTGTCCTGGAGTGTGCAGTAAAGTAGTGCCACATGTCCAACAGAAGCTTCCCACTTTGCATACTAGGGTGTTCTGAAAGACATGGGCTACAATTTTTTAAGAATTAAGTTGGCAAACTTACCCATTCTGTTGCTTCATCATCTTCACTTCTGCAGTCTCCATAGCAAGAGCTTTTGGCCACTCCATCCTGGGGACCTTTCTTCAGCACCCGTATTCCTTGTAAATCTAGACGCCGCCCTTTCATCTCCAGTGCACCCCCAAAGCCTTCCAAAGGCCATGCCTGTTGGAATTCATCCACCAAAGCTAGTATTTCTTCTGACATTTTTGTTTCATCTGAATTCTCCATCTCATCAGAACCATTGCTCTCCTCAACCACTGTACCTAAAATTCAAGGGCCAGCACGTTATTAAAAGGTACATAGTACTCATTCAGATTTTTGGGTGACTCCAACCCTGCTTTAGGAGAAACGTTTTAGGTCTGCTAAGAGGCACTTCTATAGCCTAATGTAATAAAAATACCATTCAACATCTTCAACGTTCATAATAAAATACCAACTTTGTCATCTAGCTTTTGCCAAAAGCCTGGCTGAGAACAGTGGCAGCTAGATGGCAGGCAGTCAGAGATTCTGTTATTAGTGAGCATGAGGAGAGGTATGTGATACACTATTTTTTTTTGAAAAAGATCCATTTGTCTACATACAACACATAGATGGTGAGGATGAAACTTATTATGTTATTTAATATGTGGAATTCTTCAAGGTGTATTCAAATATCTAGACATAGCTGTGTGTCCAGACCATACAGTTGGCTTAATCGCCTTAACTGAAAAATAATTTAAGGAAAACTATCCAATTTCTACATGGAGTCTCCCATTTTCACTAATGGCTGATAAAAAAAATAGCAATATACTATAATAATTTCTTTCTAAAATGATCACCAAGATATTATTTAGGTGGCTCAAGTCTCTTATATAAAGGCTCCATGGAAGACTCTCAGTGCAGTGGCCTACAAAAATTCTCTCCTGAGAACACGGTGTGTTTCCTTTATTATTCCATGAAGGCTACATAGCCCTCTGAGTTTACCTCTATGCTTAAATAACAAGGAAGTTTGGGCAAAATTAGCCTAAGTTTTTAAATACAATGCTTTCTTTTAAAAAATTCTTCACTACTTAACTTTTCCTGTTTATTCTGAATTAATGGCTGCATGTTACAGTGCACGTTCCATGAAAGCCATTTCTAATCCCTTAGCAAGTAGACAGGTTACAAGAACAAATAACAAAATGTCTCCTTCTGTAACACGTACCCACAGGAAAACCTAAGGGCTCTGGGTTGATACCTCACAAAATGCCAGTTTCATTATTCTAGTACAATAATCTTCAGCTGGTAATTCTGGCTTGTTCAGGGATTTAGAACGTGGTATTATAGCCACACATCCCATCATGAAGTTCTGGTCAATGAGCAACTGCATATACCACAGCGGTGCCATAAAAGTGTAACACTGTATTCTTCCTGTACCTTCTCTGCATTTAGATATGTTTAGAGACACAAATATTTACCATTGTGTTACACCTGCCTACAGTATTTCAGTACGTAAACATGCTGCAGAGGTTTGTAGTCTAGAGGCTATATAACATAACATGGGAGTGCAGTAGGCTACTCCACCTAGCTTTGTGTAAGTAAGTACGGTACACTGCATGATGTTCCCACAATGGCAAAATCACCCAAGGACGCATTTCTCAGAACCTATCCCTGTTGTTAAGCAACACATTGGAAAAAATCATGCTGTTTAGCTACAAAGAGTTCTGCAAACCCAGCAACCCAAGGTTATTGCTTCCCTGTGCTCCTGCCATATGGTAATATATATCATTATTTAAAAATTCTGAGAGAGGGGGTTTTCATTAATGGAAACTGATATTCAAATAAAGAGAGAACGTGGAGCTTGCCGCAGGTTTCTACTGTTGGCTTTTCTAAAGGCTGCTGGGTTGAGGCGAAAGCAATTCCTAAGAAACAACACTAAATACGTACATATTTTTCTATTTTCTCCTCACGGGTGAGGAATAAGTAGATCATAAGTATGCTCTGAGTTAGCAAAAAATAAACTAAACTTTATTGACAGCCCACTATGTGTCTATCTCTGTGCTGAAAGCTGTAGTTGGGAACAAAAAAAAGGACAGTTTCTAATCTTAATTAAATATAATCAAGTTGGAGACAGAAAACTACACACATGAAATAAAAGAAAACAATTCTTTTTCTAGAGGAAAAAAATATTTGCATTTAATAACAAAATGCTTCTCAGAGAAAGGCAGACTACCTGAGTCAGGATTTAGACAGAGTAGACGGCCAGGGACGACACTCCCTAGAGTGACTATTTTTCTTTTTTGAGACAGTCTTGTTCTGTTGCCCAGGCTGGAATGGTGTAGTGCAGTTGCACTAGCTCGGCTCATTAAAACCTCTGCCTCCCAGGCTCAAGTGATTCTCCTGTCTCAACATCCCAAGTAGCTGTGATTAGAGGCATGGGCCACCACACCCAGTTAATTTTTTTGTATTTTTGTAGAGATGGGGTTTTGCCATGTTGGCCAGGCTGGTCTTGAACTCCTGATCTCAGGTGATCTGCCTGCCTCAGTCTCTGAAAATGCTGGGATTCAGTTGTAAGCCACTGCACCAGGCCTTCCAGAGTGACACATTTTTTTAAAAAACTGTGCGCACAGACTCTTTGGTCCACACACATACATATAGCGATAGTAAAGGCACATGTGAAGGCACTACCAATTTCAAACTAATTAGAACAAAGAATGTATGCAGGGGATAGTAACAAATAAGATACTTAGGAAAGGTGGGTGATGTTACAAATGTGTGGGAAAGTCATGAAGAGGATTCACTGTAAAAGCAGCCTCTTGTTTCTTAAGCAGAATAACAGGATGAAGGCCATAATAATTACAGAGGTTAAGGTCTTAGAGTAGTAAATCAGTTGGTGTATTGGAATAGTGGTGTTGGACAAGGAAAGAGAAGACAGAAGACAAAGAGACCAATTAGAAAGGTATTTAAGAATCCTTGTAAGAGTTATAGAAAGTAGGTTGTCTTAGGGTAAAGGCAAAAGGAATTTTTAAAAAAGGGAGGGTAAAGAGGTAAACAAAGAAGTGTTAATAGAGAAAAACTAGTAATAGGATAGGCTCAAAGATGATTTCAAGATTTTTAAGTCTAATGTAAAAACCTAGGATTTTTATTATATGACTATAGGTTTAGAATCTGTGAATATGTAAACAGAATATTTATAAAGACAATGGAGTTAGGAAAGGGCAACAGGATAAACGGAACTGTAGACACTCGTTATTAATTCATAAAAATGTTTGTTGCGTATCTAACAATGTGCTAAGAGCTGGGTTCTAACAACCCACGAAACCTACAGTCTAGACAAGAATGGATGGAGGACTGTATCTTCAGACGTTGTCCTAGATAGGACATTGTCCTACACAACTGTCCTATACAGCTGAAAATACAGAATTCTGGTTAGGTGAAAGGTCTGGATTGTAGAGAGATCTTGGAAGGTTTCAAATTATGCTTGAAGTAAGAGGAATAAGTAAATCTTGGGCTTGCTGCTTGCAGGACAGATGGTATGATATAAACTGAAAACAGAGCCTATTTTTTCTTGATTTTCATTACCATGCACCATTTTCACACTGGGAAAAAGAAGAATAAATATTGTGAAATTGGAGAGAATGTGAGCATCCACAGTGAAGTTTATGTGAGTTCACATCCTTCATTGAGATGAAGCCTATCCCAGGGTAGTGTGAAGGTTTATAGTTGCATCTGAGCCATATTAGGTACTATCAAGAATCACAAGGACTAGAAGTGATAAGAGATGAAGCTATGGGCTGGGAACGGTGGCTCACGCCTGTACTCCCAGCACTTTGGGAGGCTGAGGTGGGTGGGCAGATCACCTGAGGTCAGCAGTTTGAGACCAGCCTGGCCAACATGGTGACACCCCATCTCTACTAAAAATACAAAACTTAGCTGGATGGTGTGGTGGATGCCTGTAATCCCAGCTACTTGGGAGGCTGAGGCAGGAGAATTGCTTGAATCTGGGAGGCAGAGGCTGCAGTGAGTGGAGATCACACCATTGCACTCCAGTCTGGGAAACAGAGGGAGAATCCATCTCAAAAAGGAAAAAAAAAAAAAAAAAAAGGATGAAGCTATGCATATGCAGTCCGGTTGTAAATAAAAAGAAGCTTGTAATGCTCCAAACACATCTGGAGATTCATATTTAAGTCTGGGTACCTCACTTTAAGAGATGTCCAAAGCAGAGAGCATTCACAGAAAATATACTTGGCAAAAGTACTCAAAACCATGTTAAATGAAGAGGAACCGAAGAAACCTAGGGGGATCCAGTGATATAGCCAGCTGATCTATTACACCAAAAATTTGCGCTTGAAAAATATTTTGTTGAAAAGATTTTGACAAATTCCAGGGAGATTACTTCAAAGACAGTGAAGAGACTGGATAATGTGATATAAGTTATTCAAGGAAGTGAAGACACTTAACTGAAGAGAAGCTAGAAACTAGAAATGAGAGGTCATGTTTTAGCTCAGTATTAGGAAAGACTTTTGGATCAGATAACCATGGAATGGGTTATCAAGAAAGAAACTGGGATCACCATACCTAGAGTAGAAACAGAAGCCAGTTAATGGCTATAGAGCTATGGGCTGGGAACGGTGGCTCACGCCTGTATTCCCAGCACTTTGGGAGGCTGAGGTGGGTGTCTCTGAGTAGTGTCTACTGAGAGAGAGTGGAATATCAGAAGCTGACTAACAGAAGGTGAGTATATGTGATAAGAAACAGCATTAACAATCTTGGAAGAGAAGTTTCAAGGAGTTTTAGGGAGCAGAGGATGGAAAGATGAGTGCTAGATTCAAAACAAGATAGAAGTAAACATAGCCATAAAAAGAAATAAAAGAACACAAATTCAAAGAGATGGACTGCAAAATCTGACTGAAAACTTCTTCCTCCAGAAAGTCTTGCAAGAGTAGTATCAGTGGGTACTAGAGTACTTAAGACTGTGGCTTCTGAAGGCAAGTAAGACGAATACTACCTTTAATAACAATACTGTAGAGGGAACATGTTCCTTTGTCTTACAAAAGAGAAAGAGTATTCTAAGGAATTAGACAAACTTGGTTCCAAATTAAGATTACCACCATAGGGCCTTAGGCAATTCTGAAGCAACTTATCTTCCTTTTTCAATGATTTACTCAATAAACTAGTAACATTAAGATGACTGATACAAAAACAAATCAGATTTGTTCTGGCAAAAGAAGACACTGAGGTGAAGAATGCTTTTACACTATAGCATGTCATCTGCCTCACCACCTAGGGGTCACCCTCATCATGCTACAATATGATTGTTAAAAGAAGAAAACAAATTCTTAAAAGCAGAGAAAAGCCTAAGCTTAAAGTGTGAGAGTTGATTTTTCCCCAGAACCACAGCTCAGGTCAAATCAACTTACTTTCAAGTCTAAGGGCATCTGAGTCCCTCCCTGAATTCGCAACAGAGAATACAGGGTCCTCCTCTGTTCCTCTCTCAGAGGGCTCTTCTTCAGCAGCATCCAGTGACTGTGAGTTGTCAAAATATTTCTGTTTGTCATGGCTGTTGTCCAGGGTTTTCTCATGACAATTACCTCAATGACAAGAGACACAGATATAGCACATTAGAAACATCTCTCTTGTGTTGTACTATAGTACAAGGTCCTAAAATATCAAGAGCAAAAATGTGACAATGCTAGTTTTTCAGCAGAACACACAAAACTCAGTGAGTTGCACCCAAAGCCAGATCATTACTGTAATTCAAGATTTTGCACTGAAGTTCAAGTTTCAGCTGTAAGCTATTGTTAAATATTTGGGAGGAGAAAAAAAAAAAACTATAACAACAAAGATCAAGTCCCAAGATCTTGTTCCATTCATAATGGCCATGAAATATTTTCTTGAGGATAGAAGTATCATCAAAAAGTTTTCCTTCTATTTGCCTTTTGAAAGTGAGAGATGACAGGTTAATACCTGGGTAAGTCTGAGATAGATAAATCATAGCAGAGAAAAACACTATTTTTGCATGATGGCTTAAAATAAGATATACTAAAAGATGATGAATTATTAAAAATGAAAAGCCAAAGAATTAAATGGCGATAATGCAGAAAATCAACACTTAAGATTGCAATATACCTTCTGGAAATGTTTTGCAATGTTTCTTTTGGAAAACAAGTTCTGGTCATGTCAATAAAAACAACTTGGCACATACAGTGGGAATGAGTCAAAGGGTTTTGATCCCATTATGAGTAGTGTGTTAATATGAACCAAAACCCCCACTATTCAGCTCTACCTGATGGTCACTCTCTGGGTAGGGAAGTATATTACCAGACAGTTGTATCTAATATGGCAGCAATCTGGCTGACATCTGTCCCTCCTTTGACTACCCATGGTTAGTTCTAACTGATCTGACAAGCTGAATGGGTGCCCTCTTTCCCCCTTGTGTTCCATGGACAATGTCAATGAAAATGCATTTTCAGTGCAGGAGCATAATTTTCCTGTTAGAGGATAATTCTTTGGTTAAGAGTGTATAAATAGCTGCTTACTTTAACCAGAACATTCAAACACACTCTAAAAGTTTATATTTTAGAGAATGTTGTCTCAAAGGTAGACTGGTTTGTCTGTCTGTCTGTCTGTCTATCCATCCATGCATCTGTATACGTCCACCAAAACAAGCTCTCTTTCTTGACTCATGCTCTCTTTTAGATTTCATAATTTAAGAAAGTACTTCTAATGCCATTTCCCTTACTGTGCCAAGAAAATGTAATGGACTCAAAACCTTTTCCAACTTAATGACTTTGGAGTAAGGGGACCACATGCTTAGAGAGTCACTTTCCATTTTCCACATTTACACTATTATACATTGGAATCCATTGTATTTAATAAGACTATGTTAGAAATTGAGGATTCTTTGTTTTAAGAGTTTTAGCTTTTAAGAAACTGACAACTTGGGAGACAGTAAATACAAGACAATCCTTGTGCCAAATAAGTGCTTCAGAGAATAAGCTTTGAGTAGTTAGAACTCAAATTTTGAAGAATAGGTAGGACTTATAAAAGGGGAACTACAGGAAATGGAAGAAATATTTTTTGAGTGCTTAATATTTTGTCCTCCACTTTACCTTCATAAAATCCATGTGTGTCTTCATTTTACAAATGAGGAAACTCATTCTCAGTAAAATAAAGTAACTTGCCTAAAGTCAAAAGTAAGTGGTAGATCTGAGATCTGGATTAGGTTGGCCTTATTATAAGGTTTCTGAGCTTCCTTCTGCTCAGTAGGGAAGGCAGCATTCTAGGCAAGGAAAAATAACGTGTTGGGCAAAGCAATAGGCATGGGAATTCTCATTTGTGTTGGGAGCGGTGAGAAGTACAACTTGATAAAGACTGAGTGCTGTGTGTGTGTGTGTGTGTGTGTGTGTGTGTGTATGCTTGCACGCATGTGCCCACGGAGGGCTAACGGGAAAGAAGCCATGAGTAATGGTAGTTGCTTTCTTTCTCCAGACTCTCCTATGACAGGACAGAGGTTGTTAGTTTGCCTCCACTTCTGTTTTCACCATCTGGTATGTGTAGTTAAGTCAGGGGAGCTAAACATAAAAGCATTAAAATAAAACAGAATAATGACATCAACCATCTCTGCACACACAACTGACTATAATTTATTATGAAGAACATCACATTTCTCGGAGATAATTCTTAATTGGGATATAAATAAGCATGACTATTAGAAGCAGAGAGGAAATAATGATGACGATGATGCTGATTAAAGCATTCTTCACGTTGACAAGGGTTGTGTAAACAGCATTGTAAAAGCAAAGGACAAGCCTTTAACACTGGAACCCAGTGAAATTCTATGTTTTCTGAAGTGGATTTCCTCCCTCAACATTTGATTCTCTTCTGTTTCTCTCCCACCCTCTGCCCACAGTAAAAATTTAATTGGTCTCATCTTTTTAAATTTCTGTAATACAAAAAAATACCTTGCAGATAATTTATAAAATGTTATGTGCACAAGGGACCCTGAAGCTAAAATTATTCCTTCTGCATGACCTCAAACTCAGACATCTTGAGTAAGCCATGTGCATTCTAAGAATGTCTTGCCGTCAAATTCAGGAAATTGGGGCCAACATCTCTCGGAGGGAGAGGAGAATAATCAGGGAGGAGAACATGAATAAAAAAAAGAGTAAGAGGTTTATGTTAGGGCATTTCTTGGAGATAGGCATCAAAATGATCACATAAAAGCTACATGCTTTAAGGTTAGAATTGTTAATACCAACTTTCTTACATGAATTGTTAAAAACAGACCAGTTTAGGGTTCTAATGTGATCTGCATTCGTAGCTTGGTGATAGTTTAATTGCCTAATTTAAAAAATTACTCCTTCCATTTTCTAAGGGTAAGTGAAGTACTTCAGAAAAATGTAAAATTTCTATTATTTAGACTATAGTATAGGTCTGCTCCACCTCAAAGCGGAACTAAAAAAAGTTGCCTTTGTGGAAAAATATTTCCTGTTTTCCTGCCAGAGGTAGGAATGATGCTCTCATTAAAGAAACACAGGAAAATATCGGAGAAGAAAAAATGGAAAGATACCTTGAAAGCAGCAAGTCATCTTCTACGCGTAAAACTATTATTTTTTGCTGACGCAAAAATGGGGAGATTCTATGACCTACACTAACCTTGAGAGGTATGATTTTTCTTTAAAGGTACAACATGATTTAAATAAAATGCTTTAGGTAACAAGGTCCCTGGTGAAAATGGAAAACACTTTTCTGTGTTTAATGCTCTGTTACTTGCTTGCAAAGCATTTAGCATCTAATTTAAACCCTGGTAGTTAGGTTTTTCTTAGAAGTAAAAGACTATAAGACTATCAACTAAGTATAAAACTCCAAAAAGGGTATTTTTTATTCTGAAACTACTATGAGATCCTAGTCTATTAACATTCTTTTTCATGCTTGGAGTATCTCCTGCATAAATAGGGTGATTAATACTAACCTATCCTACAAGGGTTTCTAGAAAAACAACTACATATTTAACATACCTTGTCAAAGTAAAGTTTCCTGAGGGGTAAAGTCACAATTTATCATGTGGCGAAACAGTTTGTCAAAGAGTACTAAGTTCTCAGGATCCACTATCTTCGCATCTTAATTCTTTACAAATTGCTAGAAGAGTATTTTCCATTTTCTACCTTGAGTTGGGTAACCATTTACTTGTTAAAAAAATTTCTTACCTTCTAAATCTCATTTATTGGTAGACATTACTGGATGGGTAACTTAGGATGCTTTTTGGTTAGTTATAATAAAGAAATGCCACAGATGAATTGAGAGGCATCGAAACATTGTTAAGAGCCAAGGAACTAAAGCTTGCACCAATGATAAGATCATGTGGTTCTTTCAGCATTAGAGAAGTGGTTATGGGTACAGACTGGGGCAAGACAAGTTACTTTTCCCTTTTTGTGAATCAGTTTCCTCATCTACAAACTGGGGTTTTTTTTTTTTTTTTTTTTTGGAGAGGAGTTTCGCTCTTTTTGCCTAGGCTGGAGCACGATGGCACAATCTTGGCTCACTGCAACCTCCGCCTCCTGGGTTCATGCAATTCTCCTGCCTCAGCCTCCTGAGTTGCTGGGATTACAGGCGTGCACTACCACGCCCAGCTATTTTTGTATTTTTAGTAGAGACGGAGTTCCTCCATGTTGGTCAGGCTGGTCTCAAACTCCTGGCCTCAGGTGATCAACCCGACTCAGCCTCCCAAAGTACTGGGATTACAAGCACGCGCCAACATGCCCAACTTGTTTTTGTTTTTTAAGAGATGGGGGTCTCACTATGTTGCCCAGGCTGGACTTGAACTCCTGGGCTCAAGTGATCTTACTTCAGCCTCCCTCGTAGCTAGGACTACAGGCATGTGCCACTGCACCAGGCTGCAAATTGAGCTTAATAACATCCGGTTCATTAGGTTGTTGAGAATTACATGCAAGAGCTACACCATTGCCTAGCACATGGTAAGATGCTATTATTATTAGCACTGACTCCTTGAAAAGCTGTACTGGAATAGTAAGTTATCCCAATGTAATTTTTAAAATAAGGCCTTTTAGGTATAGCCAACTCAGAATCTCTAGTATGATCAATTAACTGGCTATTAGAAGTTATCACGGTATACATCTTACGCCAGTTAGAATGGTGACCATTAAAAAGTCAAGAAACAACAGATGCTGGAGAGGATGTGGAGAAATAGGAATGTTTTTACACTATTGATGGGAGTGTAAATTTGTTCAACCATGTTGGAAGACAGTGTGGCGATTCCTCAAGGATCTAGAACCAGAAATACCATTTGACCCAGCAATTCCATTACTAAGTATATATATACCCAAAGGATTATAAATCATTCTACTATAAAGACACATGCGCATGTATGTTTATTGCAGCACTATTTACAATAGCAAAGACTTGGAACCAACCCAATGCCCATCAGTGATAGACTGGATAAAGAAAATACGGCACCTATACACCATGGAATAATAAGCAGCCATTAAAAAAAATGAGTTGATGTCCTTTGCAGGGACATGGATGAAGCTGGAAACCATCATTCTTAGCAAACTAACACAGGATCAGAAAACCCATGTTCTCACTCATAAGTGGGAGTTTAACAATGAGAACACATGGACACAGTGAGGGGAAACATCACACACTGGGGCCTGTCAGGGGCGGGGGGCAGGGGAGGGATAGCATTAGGAGAAATACCTAATGTAGAGGACAGATTGATGGGTGCAGCAAACCACCATGGCATGTGTATACCCATGTAACCAACCTGCACATAGTCTCCCAGAGCTCAAACTGCTGAGCTCTAGTGACCTGCTTTATTATACTTTAAGTTCTGCAGATGTAACCCAGAACTTAAGAAAAAAAAAAAAAGAAAAGGAAAATGAAGTTATCAGGGTATCTGCCTAATTTCAACTGTGTGTGTGTGTGTGTGTGTGTGTGTGTGTGTGTGTGTGTGTGTGTATGTAGGGGATGCTGGAGGCAGTATAGAGTCCCTTTCTACCAATCTTTTAGAAGAAAGCAGCAATTAAATCAGATTAAAATCCTTAGCATATCTATGCCCCAAAATGTTTAGTACACTTAGAAATTAGTCTCACAGTCTGCTTTGTGCTCTCTAAAGGACATTTTAGTAGAGAGAGTGAATTCACTGCCTTAAAATACAAAAATAGACTACAGGTACCATGTTACCTATAGTCACTCACCCCTTTGCCGTTAACAACTCCTTCCCTCTAGATTTTTTTTTGTTTTTTGTTTTGAGACACAATTGCTCTGTCACCTGGCTTGGAGTGCAGTGGCATGATCTGGGCTCACTGTGACCTCTATCTTCCAGGCTCAAGCCATCCTCACACTTCAGTTTCTCAAGTAGCTGGGGCTACAGATGTGTGCCACCACACCTGGCTAATTTTTGTATTTTTTGTAGAGACACGGTTTCAGTGTGTTGTCCAGGCTGCTCTCAAACTGCTGAGTTCAAGCAATCTGTCTACTGTGGCCTCCCAAAGTGCTGGGATTACAGGCATGAGCCACTGTGCCCAGCCCCCTCTAGTTTGTTAACTTTGCTTCAGTCCTTCCCCCCAACATACTTTTTGTTTTCATAGAGTAAATGTAAGTCATATTCCTATGCAATTTATAAGTAATTTCTAAGACATAAATAATAAACTGATTTGTAACACAAGCTGTAATTCAAAATTTAAGGCAAAGATGTTAGAAAAGTGGCCTTTGTGAAACAGTGGAATATTCTAAAGGTTTTCCTACTATCCCTGCTCCAATAGGCTTAAATTATACTTTATAGTCTCCTTTCTTCTGCCTTTTAGAAAAGTCACCTTACAGGAAACATTCTGATGTACTCAATTAAAGTACCTAGGTAGAAAATACAGACATCATCATCCTTTTAACAGATATGAGTAACTTTTTATCTAGTGTTTTTCTCCTTACCTTTCTACCTAACTGCACTCAAAACTATGCAGTTATAAAAATAATTTCTTTTGGAAATAAGTAGCTTAGAAACACACGGTGACCTTTTTCTTTTATTATAATTTAAGCTACTTCACAGCATTATTTCAGATTTATCTCTAGTAAAATGTAATGTTTCTTAGAAAAGGTAGCAAAATACCATGAAGTGAACAAAAATATATCTTTTAGTTGCTCACCACTGTTATATAAAACTACCAGGACACTTTTACTATAGGTGACATGTGGGACTTTGGCACCACAGAGAGTAATAGGTATAGCTGAGGAAGAAGGATACCTTACTGGGAATAGATACCTTTAAGATTTTCACCTCCAGAGGTTATAACGAAGTCCAACAGACCTTTAGCCAAGAGGAACACTTCCGTGGTACAAATTCAAATCCTGCCTCAGCTGCAGCCTTACCATATAAACTTGGGCAACTCAATTTGTCTCTGTGTTCAGGATTTTTCACTCAGAAATGGAGAGACAAACTTATTCTCCTACTGTCAGGGAATTCTTGGGAAACACCATTAATGAAACCACTGCTAACATAAGCACACAGAACCTGAATCTGGGTGAAACCTAAGCTGCTGCTGACTGCACCCGAGAGACAAATGAAGATGCCTCACCTCCTCTGCCATGTTCTATTCCCTATTTGGGAGAGAAAAAAAATTATCTGAACAGAAATAATGGCTCCTTAGACCTGTTCTCATTCAGTAATTCCTACTGAATGAAATTTTTTACAGAAGGTTTTAAAATAATGGTTTTGTACTGACCGACCTCAAAAGTACAATGGCAAAGAGAAAAGAGACCATATTAAAGACCTGAAATCAGTAATCTCTCCTGGTGAGGTGATTAAGCCAGAAAAGAGGTTACAGGGGAAAAAAAAAGAAAAGCATGTGACTCCCAAACATGAATGTATGTACATGTGTGCATGTGCGTGTTTCCCTTTTACTACATATTCTGGAGTTGAATTCTGTTCTGGGAAATACTTTGTTCACAAATGGTCCTGTATGGAATTTTCTCTGCTCAAGAATTCAGAGCTGAGTTGGCTTCTGCAGACCTATATGACTTGCATCCCATACGCCCCGCCTCCTTTTAGAGCAGTAAAAGGAGAACTGGCTATAAATCTGGCCTTTGGACTTGCCATATGGCCTTCTTTTAAGTCACTAAAGCATAAGAAGCCAAGTCAGCACGAGTTGAAACACAGATGCCATGACACGCAGTCTGTGTTAGAAACTATTTTAATGATGAATCCAGGCTTTCAGCAGTTATAAGTACTTCGAGAATGGTAAAAGATCAGATTACATCTCTAAAGCAAGTTTAAAATTCATTATAAGTTTACTATGAGACTTTTCCATGCACAAATTATATTGAAAAAGAAAATCAACAGACATAGCTTTTTTTTTTTTTTTAAATTAAATCTCTGGCTTACTTCAGCCTAGGGAACTTTTCTTTAAGCAAGAATACTGGGGAAACAAATTCAACAGACTTCCTGAGACTGACCCATAGGTGTTAGTTTTCAATGAGGGTCAAGAGGGACATTAGTTTATCATTTTCATTAAGAACAGTGAGGACTGAAGGTGGGACAATACAGGCTACCTGTTAGATGTGTCAGCTCCTAGTGGACCAGTAAGACAATAAGATTCCATTTTTCTTCTCTCTCCAATAGTGGGAGCTGCAGACCTTAGAAGGAGATTTGTATCTACTTATGTATATTGAAGGGTGTTTCCTAGGAAGTACTCTGGGCAAACTTTGGTTGGATACAAGTTAATTACTCTTTATTACTTTTAATACTTAGGTATCCAAGTAGTTCAGACTTGAAATATCATCAGCCAGTTTGCCATTGAAGAATATTCTGTGTGCTAAACGTTGGGGGGAGGGTATGGAATGCTTGGTGAGCTGGGGTATGCAGATGAAAAAAGGATTGGTTTCTGCACTCAAGGAGCTAGGAGAGTTGTTAGAGAGCTGTGCAATGTACACAGATAACTATCATGGCAAGTCACAGGAACCAAAGGAGAGGCACCGTTAAAATGTCTGATTACACATTACTTAATAAGGGGTCAGGTAAAGGCATATGGTGTAAGTGGCTCTTGAAAGATGGGTAAAACTGGTACTTTCGCATGTATGTGTTGCAGGAAAGAGCTGGAGAGTTATAGGATACAGTTGCAGAAAACAACGCAGGCTAACTCATCAAACTAGCAAAGCAGGATCTATGTAGCAACGAAAATTAACTACCTGCAGTGGCATCATCATTTGGACCAAGATTTGGTACAATTCCCGTAGATTCTGCAAAAGGCAAATGTTATTAAAGTTCTTATAATCAGTGACCTTAATATACAACATATCTTTCTGATTCAATCACACACTCTTGCAGTAAGTCTGCTTTACTCAATTCTTAAATTTAGAACAAGGCTACAAGGTCAGAGGGGGCTGAGATTTCCTAATTACCCACAACTTTTAGTGTTTATCATTTGCCTCGCCTTTTTCCTGCTGTGAGTGGTCACCTGCTGATGCAGAGGAAAGTGATCTAGTAGGAAAACAAACAGACTTGGGTTTACGTCGTAAATATGATATTTAGGCCCATCAAATGTCCTTTGCATTAGTATAGGTAGTAAGTATGATATTTAAACCAAAGTTTTAAATATGGTATTGGTATTTAAAGCTTACTACCAAACTAGACTTGGTTTAGGTAGCGTGATATTTAAGTACCACTGGTATAGGTAAAGTACGATATTTAAACCAACAGACCTTGTACATCACACAACTCTCTAACAAGACTCTCCTAGCTGTTTGAGAGCAGAAACCAATCCTTAATTATGCCCAGCACTTTTTGTGCTTATAAGGCTTGTCTTTTTTCCCTACAGCAAGGATACAGAGCAAGGCTGAGGCTAATGAAGTCACAAAGGTTATTTCATCTTTTTTACTCCTCAAATTAAATGAACTACAAAGACAGTATCTTCAAATGAAAACCCAAGATCCTAGTTATTCCCTAATTGATCAGGACTTGAATCTAGTAATACCTCGTAAGTCCTAGATAGAAGGAAAATGATCAAGCACTAGGAAATGTCCTTTGCACTGGTAGAGGTAGTAAGTATGATATTCAAATTAGTTTTTTTTTTTTTTAGATAAGTCTCACTCTGTTGCCAGGCTGGAGTGCAGTGGGGCGATCTCAGCTCACTGCAACCTCTGCCTCCTGGATTCAAGCGATTCTCCTGCCTCAGCCTCCCAGTAGCTGGGACTACAGGCGCATACCGCCACACCCGGCTATTTTTTTTTCGTATTTTTAGTAGAGACAGAGTTTCACCATGTTGGCCAGGCTGGTCTCAAACTTCTGACCCTGTGATCTGCCCACCTCGGCCTCCCAAAGTGCTGGGATTACAGGCGTGAGCCACCATGCCCAGCCAAACTAGTTTTAAAAGAAATCCACAGCTGGGCGGTGGCTCACGCCTGTAATCTCAGCACTTTGGGAGGCCGAGGTGGGTGGATCACGAGGTCAGGACTTCGAGACCAGGCTGACCAACATGGCAAAACCCTGTCTCTACCAAAAATACAAATATTAGCTGGATGTGGTGGTGCATGCCTGTAATCTCAGCTACTTAGGAGGCTGAGGCAGGACAGTTGCTTGAACCCGAGAGACAGAGGTGATTGCAGTGAGCCGAGATTGCGCCACTGCACTCCAGCCTGGACAAAAGAGTAAGACTCTATCTCAAACACACACACACACACACACCCCACACTGCAGTCCTTCTACCAGAGTAAGACTCCATCTCAAACACACACACCCCGCCCCCACACACATACTGCAGTCCTTCTACCAAACAACGTTTTGAGCAGGGCCTTGTGGATGGATCTCAGTAATAAAGTTTCCCAGTTCCCTGATTGCAGATCCTGCCTCAGGGGTATGGAATTAAGATACTCACTGATTTGAAGGTAACTACTTACACCTAAATACCTATGGCCAATGCATGATCAAGAGGAAAGTGAAAAATACATGATGATGATATCATGTATTTTTGTTACTTATTTTTTCCTCTTGCTTTATATCACCAAATCAAAGTCATCTGGGGACACTTACCTCAGTGGCCACTTTGCATGTAATAACACGGTTTCCAGGATCTTACTCAGTCTCTCTTAACATTTATGGTTTTTAGCCAGTGTACTTTTAGCCAGTGTACTGTGAGAGGGGTGGTGAATTGATTATTAATTTGTTCATATTAGGTTTTTCTCTAGCTGTATTTATCATCATCAAGGGAAACAGGGCTTTATTATTACAGAGGTGCAGCAGGAATCAGAAAACTTGCTTGACAGCAGGACTCCCTCAGCTGCCATGGACCTCTAGCTCTTTTTCCTGAAAGGTACTTAGGCAAATTGTGCTTATTATTTTCTGTAATCAGCTCACTGTATATTTGGGACCTGAATGGGTTATCAAAGCCTGACAACTAAAGAGGTTTAAAGGATGGCAAAATTCGAATGATAAATTTAGGTTTCTTCCTATAAAAGACAACTAAATGGGAAGACAAATCCAAAGCAGTGGTCTTTTCAACAGGTGTGAAATGTGATTTCAATTTCCCCTGCATCTTTGAGATCTTAATAAACTTTGCTGGTTAGGAAAAAGTAACAGATTACTGAGATTTTCTTGGCCAAAGAGTAGCTCAGTATGAAATAAATTCAACAACTAGCAATAAATACTAACAATTAAAGAAAAAAGAGGGAGAAAACCCAAACAGCATACACATGTACACATATATACGGCAGGCATCCTCAGTCTTAAGTGTTTTAAAATCTCACTAATACTCTTTCTAATGATTATCAGACTCGCTGCTTTATATCCATCAAGCCACGGAACTGAGTAGAGACAATCCAATGATTAAATTTGTAAAGGGGTTTACATAGTTTGTGCTGTTTTTAAAAAATAATCTGAAACTAGGAATTCATTTCAATTGTCTCAAAGCAAACATAAATAACTTTCTGAGGCACAAACCACTTAGAAATTTTAAAAAGAGCCCACTCTACTAACATAGAATAGGATGTGTATTTTGCCAATTGGAATAATTTTTTCATTATCTTTTCAAGAGACAGGTGTCCCATTATGTTTCCCAGGTTGGAGAGCAGTGGTGTGAAAAGTGTGCACCACAGCTTCGTAGTCCTGGTCTCTAGTGATCCTCCCGCCTCAGCTTTCTAAGTAGTTGGGACTACCATGCACATCACCAAGCCCAGCTAACGTAATCTTTGTGAATGGAGAAGAGCTGTATAAATGTGTGCTATTTGAGATGGCAAAACTTAACATGATATAAACTGTCTCCAAAACATCTAGAATGATAAATGGAAAGTGAAGATTTAGACAATATCCAATGAACTTGCTTAACTCACTACACACAAGTGTATATAACAAGTCAGTACCCTTCAGTTCCTATCAGGAGGCTGAAATACAACTGCAGCAACAAACCATATCAAAAATATCTTGTTCAGTGACTAGTGGCAACTATATAAAACAGACCCCATCTTGCTTATATTCCATATTTTTTTTTGGTGGTGTGTTAATTTAAAAATAAGTTACAGGCTAGGCACCAACCTAAGTATTCCATAACTGAGTGACATGCTGCAATGCTACCCTACGCTGGGTGCCTCCAGTAAGTGCTAGTAGAATGTCTAAAGTGATAGTTTATTTGCTGCCCTTGGTCTCAGTCCTCTTGGGGCATCAGAGCCAAGTCTACAGTGGTTCAACTCCAACAGTCCTGATGAAACAGAATCAGACTACTTCCTTTGTATATACTCTATCATAGGGCTTAGACTATCCTTCTGAGAAACGCCCTATTTCTTCAATCACCCATCAAGGTTTTCTACTATTTTATTAAAAATACACAATTACTTTTTCATGTTTCCTTTTTTTTTTTTTAGATGAAGTCTAACTCTGTTGCCCAGGCTAGAATACAGTGATGCAATGTCAGCTTACTGCAACCTCCACCTCCTGGGTTCAAGCACTCTCCTGCCTCAGCCTCCTCGGTAGATAGGATTACAGGCACACCACACAACACCTGGCTAGTTTTTGCATTTTTAGTAGAGACCGGGTTTTGCCATGTTGGCCAGGGTAGTATCGAACTCCTGACCTCAGGTGATCTGCCTGCCTCAGCCTTCCAAAGTGCGGGGGTTACAGGCGTGAGCCACCGTGGCCAGCCACCTTTTCATGCTTCTAGCAAATGAATTTTTTAAATAAAGCTTTCCTGATTTGTGTTCTATTATCATTACATGTTTTCTAAAGAATGATTCCTGGCTGGGCAAGGTGGCTCACCTGAGGTCAGGAGTTCAAGACCAGCCTGGCCAATATGGCGAAACCCCCATCTCTACTAAAGAAAATTAAAAAAAAATTAGCCGGGTGTGGTGGCGGGTGCCTGTAATCCCAGCTACTCTGGAGCCTGAGGCAAGAGAATCACTAGAACCCGGGAGGTGGAGGTTGCAGTGAGCTGAGATTGAGCCACTGTACTCCAGTCTGGGTGACAAGAGCGAGACTCCATCTCAGGAAGAAAAAAAAAAGACTCTTGGTATCATTTCCTATTTGCTTTAAAGTTATTTGAGTCACTAAGTGACAGGATAAAATATGAGCTATATTTTAGAAACTCTGCTAATAGCTCCAAAAGTAATTCAATTATATACAGAAAGCTCACTTTAATACTTCCATTATTCTAAAATTTATTCATGTTGTTTTAGTGTATCTCCCCATTTTATAGAAAATGCTTTTGATAAATGAAGTCACCAATGATTTCTAAACTGTTAAACCCAGAGCGTCCCACACTTTATTCATTTACCAATTACTATCGTGATTTTTCCATAGCTACCAGTACCATTACTTACGTAATGTTTTTCTTTAATGAATCTAGAGTTTAATATTACACTAATTTAGGTTAAAAGGGAAAATCATTACCATTTTTCATAAATAACAGGTTTTATGTACCAGTTATATATTTTTTCTAATGCCCATCAAAATAAACCATAAATTCTAAAATTAAAATGCCAACTAAAAGCTTGCAAATGAATCAATACAGGACACACTACTATTGTTTTCTTTGTCCTTCTCAAACCCTCTGTTCTAAACTTCATGAACCTGGTCTCCCGGGGCCTCTATTTATTCACTTTCACTAACTCTATTCCTTAAATGTTAGTATTTTCTAAGATTCCGTTCTTGGCATTTTCTTCACATCCTGTACATTCTTTCTGAGGGAATCAGAGGCATTTCCGAACGAACATGTCTATCACTGAACTTGTTATTCCCAGCACAATATCAATGCATA